CTGTTGACTTTGTTGCTGGTTTTCCGCAACAATTCATTTTCCCCCAGTTTGATTGAATCATGTCGCGGGGATTTTAATGCAATATTCCCAGTCCAAGGCCCATTTAATTGGAATTCCAATTTGGTAGCAGCAGAAAAAACCCACAACCACACAACAACAACGATAAAATTGTTTTTCATCTCATTATTGCAAGTGGTTAAAGTAATTCATAACACTCACTCGATATTGAAAAGAGGCGTGAAAAAGCTACTGGTTTGTTTACCCGCCAGCTTTTCACACTCCAAGGGAATAATAATTTATTATTTCGATTAATGGCGGTTTAAGCGCGTTTCGGATTTAGGGTTAGGTTAAATAATTTAAGAAAACTTTTAGGGATTTTACATTAGGCATTTCAGAATGTCTGAAAATACCTATAATGATATTTTCTTCAGTGCACCATTAAATCGAACGCCACTTCATTATTATTCCGTAATTAATTGGCTCTGAATTAAATTATGTTCAATTCCATTAAGAAAATCTTTCACTGATATTCTCGAGAAGAACATGTTAATTTATTATTAATCCTGAAAGATACAAACTGTATATAATATAATAATTATAATTAACTATAATTATTGTATTTTTCTAAAGATTAATATTTTAAAAAATGTTGTTTATTGCTTAGGTTGCACTTTGAAAGTTTCTAAAATTTTTTGACAATTATTTGTTTCTAGTAATCAGTTTAGAAATCATTACATTTTTACATTACACTGCTGATGCTTTATTTCATAGATTTTATTTCTCAAATTCTCGAGCCTGCAACTACATCTGAAGTGGGGAAAATCTTTTAAAGCATCCTACTCAGACAATCTTTTGTTCGGCTTTTCCTTTTACTGCCTTTTTTGTTTTTATTCGAGAAATTTCATCCAACATCTTACGTTATTTTTTCCCCAGCCCAAGTTCTAACCAACTCACATTGCAGGAAAATGTGCGGAAAGCAGAGTCAATTTGCTGACTTACATAAAAAGTGCATATGCAACCATTCTGTCGCCCCGGCTTTTCCGCTTTTCCCTCCAAAAGACCCAGGAAGTGCTATTTCCATATGGGCGCTAGCTGAAAATGTACAACACTTTGCTTAGGATAACTCCGTCCAGCTCGAAAAAAAAAACAACAAAACAGCACAAAAAAAAATAAATAAAACGCCCCCAAAAAATACTTGCAAATGCTCCAAATCTCGGGCAGAAAAGAGCGGGACGGGAGGTGGCAGTTATATCCTGGCATCCTGGCAATGCCTTCTGGGAATTACCTTGGTTATTGTTTCAACATTTTTATCTGCCCGCCCTCGACAGCAGAAAAAATAAAGAGGGAACAGGTGAAGTGATACAAAAAGTGGGGGATTGGAGGCTTAGGCGACTAGGGGCAAACCCCCAAAAACACAACAAAAAAACAAAAAAAAGGAAGAGGGGTGCATTACATATGCCACGAGTGCGTTTGGGCATAAATCCCAATTTAATCCATCCGGCTTTTAGTTTTGTACATTTTCTATCTCTATTTTTTTCTGGGTTTTCCCCTCTTAATATAGTGTCCCCATTTTTTTGTTTCAGAATTTTGCTACAAAAGTTGGGGCTATAAATTCATTTTTGGCTTTTTTCTCTTTAATAAAAAATCGAACATTTTGGAAGAGATATTTATGAAAATCTTAATAACGTATTGTTTAATATATACACTCATTAATAGGACATTTATCAACGTTATTTGAGTTGGTCTGAATTTAATTTTACTTTTCATTTCATTTTTATTTTATTATTTAAAGCTACCCAAACTATTTTTGGTTATGCCTTTACTTCTGTTATCTTTGGAAAGAATAAAAATAAATATTTATAAATAGCTATCATAAGTTAACAGATAAGAAACTGACTGACAAATAAATACATAGATGCCCCAAATATGTTTCCTTTAAAAGTAAACAAGTAAGTAAGTCTACATTAAAATCAATATTTAAATACAAGTTTTGAATGCTTTTAATTTAGAAATTAGAGCAGAACATTTTCGTGTCTGCCAAAGTAGCATGGAATTCGTGTCAGTGTCTTGTTTTTAATATGTTTTGTTATGTTTTTTGACCAGCCTAGAAGCCTGTGCCCCTTCCTCTTGCCGGTTTGAAGCACTCCCCGATGAATTTGCTGAAAACTGTTTGCTGTCCAGCGAGCCAACATTTTCGTGTTTCGTGTTATGTATTTTTGTGTTTTATATTTTTACCTTTAAATGCTTGCTCTGAGTGTGCCTACCTGCCGCTAAGCTGCGCTTCGGAACAATAAAAGATAAGCCGACTTAATCCCATGGGGATTTGCCCCCGATCTCCGTCCGTAAAACCTGATGTTTTGGTATTCCTGCAGTTCAGCGCTCAGGCAGGCTGCTGCTTCTTTTGATTGTTTTCATTAAAATAGAAACTTATCAGTGGCCTCTGAAACACCACAATCGTGGCACAAAAAGAACACACAAATGGCATTACATGGGGTAGGAACTTTGATAGGCGCCAACCGCGATCGCGATTGTCGAACAAACGATTGAATCACTCGGCGGCAACAACTTCGATATGCAATCAAGGTCAAAGGTTCAACAGCAGAAGCCAGAGCATATCATAGTCGACTATCTGATACTTATTAATACTAATCAGTTTAATTATCTCATAATTATTTGTTCACAAAATATGTCTTTATAAAATAATTAAATAAACTATGTTACTTTTTAAATAGTATGATATTATCTTATGAAGTTGTTATGCCCAGCTTAATTCGAAATACCTTCTACATTAGAGGGTATTAAAAAAGAAAAGGAAAATGCAGAGACAAGCCCTAAATATTTATGACTCCCCTCGAAAGAGACGGTAAAAAGAGAATGTCAGCAAGTGAGTGACTAAGCTTTGACCTCAGCTTTGTTCCCTCTCTTTCTTCTGCCATTTTCTTTCCCTTTCATCCGACCAACTTAGTTTTGTAACCCATTCAACTTGTCACCCATTTCAGCTTATCAGTTCCACTTTCAGTTTTCATTTCCATTTCCCAGCTCATGTGAATGTGATAAGCCTGTTGCCGTCTCTTTCTCTGCTCCTGAATGCGACACACAGAAAATATACATAGTTATTCAAAACCATATCATGGTTTATACTAAAAATTTTGTTTTATCACATTGAAATGCTCTTAATAAATACAATTTTACATTAAATGATTTTTAAATGGTTCTTAATCTATTCCCGATTTTTTGATTTTATTTTATGTACATTATTTTTTATAGTGTACCTGAGAAGCTTTTCAATTAGCTTTAGAGTAATACAAAAAACTAAAAACCGGACAACTCAACACATTGAAATGCATTTTCGACTTACGACAAAGTTGAAGTCAAAGTTTAGTTGAAGGCCAACTGCAGCTTAATTCTTCTTCTTCTCTGCCTTTTCAGCTTTTTCTTTTTTTTTAGCCAAAGAGAAGCCCCACAAAGTGCACTAAGCAACAGACACAATAAATGCAAAAAAAATAGGTATATATAAAAAGGAAAAAAACAGAAAAGCCGCCTGTCGAGACACATTTTAGCAATAAAAGCCAACTGCGAAAGAAGTGGAAAAATATAAGGGAAAAAATAAACAACAATAGCTACAACAATACGGCGGGCAGCAAATCACGGCGGCAGAAAAAGAAGAAGAAGTGCGAACCAGGTAATCAGCACCACTAAAATGGAACAGTGGGTCAAACAAAAATGAATACAGAAAAAGCTAAGAATTAACAAAAAAGTTTTGTACCAAATTTAACAGAAATTTGGAAAAAACAAAAAATAAGTGTTAGATTTTAGATATTACAAAAAAGAAAGAACATGAATTAATATAAATAATATTTCTCAATTTAAGCCCAGTATTCAAGCTACCAAAATGGTTTTCAAAACACAACAACTTTTTATGAAATGTTTTTGTTTCAAGATTTGATAGCTTAAATACTTGGTTTTCTATCATCCAATTGTGGGTTTTTGGATTAAACACAATCTAGCCAAAAATTGTGCAGCGAATTCCCGCGTTTCTACCCACTGTGTTCATTGGCAGGAAGCCGTCAAGAAGAAGCATTGGAGGGAAAAAGCGAGCCAAACAAAAGGCAAAGGTAGTTGAGCAGCTGCTGCTTTTCCCTGCTTCTCTGCGATCGCGTTTACCTGGTGTCCCTTATTTCACCTCTCACCTTCGCCCTCATCTCCTCCCCTTGTTCTTACCTGTTCGCTTTTGAGGAAGGAAGGAAACGCGGGGAAAAACCTGCTGCAACGACCCGAAAAATTTGCATCAGCGAACGGAGAGGGGAGGAAATGGGAAAGAAATGCATGGAAATTCCCAGGCATTTATGAGCTATTTCCATAATTTTGAAACAAAAAAAGTATGTCTGCCACGAAAAATGCAATTAAAATGTTGCCCTACAAATTGTGAATTGAAATTATTAACAAGTAGTCGCTCTGAACCAAAATGAATATTGGGAGAAATATTGAGAAACATTTGTAAGAAATGTTAAATGTTTAAATTACTTTAATAAACTTTAATATTGGACAATTAAATGTTTTTAGTCATGAATGATTTAAAGATTGTATATACCATTTTCTTGTGTTCATATTTTTAAATAAAACTGTTTTTACAGTTCTCAAATGCAAACTGTTTTAAAGAATAATGGACCCTTATTTCTTGCAGTGTGAGGGTGAAAAGGGAGTTTTAAAACATGCGGGTGACAGGTAACCACATAGAAATAATAATCCGGAAATTTCAACACTGCGCAAACCAAAACGGGGAAAAAGAAACTCAATACCGAACCAAATCGAAAATAAACGAAATGCAATCGAAAACAAAAAAAAACGCCACCCAAGTATGTAATTGTCCCAACGTAACCAAAATGTTGGTTGATATTTCCCCCCATCCGCAAATGTATTCCGTTTTTTTCAGCATGTAAAACCAGTGAAAGTTCTCAGCGAACGTGTCGCAACATAATAAAACACGAAAAAAAACTTACCTCACTTCCAGTTGAATGTAATTCCAATTAATTGCTTGCTGAAGCGAACACCAATTCCATTTGATTCTTGAAATAAAAAACCAAAAACACTCAGAATTAACAAAAAAAAATGATTAACAAAAATATGATGAGGGGATTTTTCTTCACAATTTCACAATACATGCGATTATTTGTTGTGGCCTTGTTGTTTAATAACTTGTTTGATTTTGTCAGCTCATGTTATTTATTGAAGTTAATGTAGAAAATATTTTCTTTGTATTAGTATTATATTTTTTAATGGAAACCGTTTTTTAAAATTACATTTGTCTATTTCCTTTTCCTTTTGGTACAAACGAAATGTATTTCAAAATGTTTGTACAATCACAAATAACGGTTTAAACAACTTTTGTTTGTTAAAACAAAAATAATATTATAAATCACGTTTGTTAGTTAAGAAAATTTAAATTTAAATTTTGTTTTTAATTTTAAGCTGGACAAAATGTTGTGTTTTGATTGTTTGATTCATTGCGAAATTTAATTGTTTGTTGTTTCTGGCATGTTTGCTTGTTAAAATTTGTTTTGGGATATGTGGGTTTTATTTGCTTGTGGAAAATTCAATTATTTGTCTAATTACAATATTTAAATCACTATTTTTTGTTTTTTATATTTTTTGGTTCTGTTTTCTTTTAAAGATTTGTTATATTTTTTGTTGGTGTTTGTTTGTTGTTTGAAATGAGTTAATTAGTGAGAGGGAGACGGGGCGATAGGCGGACGAAACTAAAACAAACACCTGCAAACGCGCGCAACTTGCACAAACTTGAAGACATTTACCGTTGTTCTGCTGCGCCTGCGCTGCGTCGACGTCGACGACTAAAACGTTGCAACAAGCAACCTTTTATTTGTTTTTGCTGCCTGCGCGTGCGTGCAACTCACAGAAAAAAACAAACAAAACAGATCGAAAACCACTGAAAACAAACTCCGCTAAAAGAAACCAACGGATAACGATAAAAACCGACAAAATAACAACGAAAACGGAGCGAAAACAACGAATCAACCGCCACGATCAACGATCACAAAACAAGATACTGAAGTGTGACCGCTCTGTGTAGGTTCAAAGATACCGGCGGCGCACGAGAATATACTAAATAACACCCACTAAATATACCTAATTTGATCAGATCGTGGTTGCTGTCTATGATAAGCTGGTATTTAAAAGAAAATCTAGCTATTTTTTAGTTCGGCTAGATTCGTAAGTAGATATTTTTTTCAAGTATATTTGGTCTAATATATTTATATGCTTACCCCAATAAAAAATAATATCTTCATTATTAAACATAAAGTAAATATTTAGAATTAGGGTTTTCATAAGAACTTTTTATACATGATATAAGAGACTGTACAGCAGAATTAATAAAAGAGCAATTCGATGTTAAGTTATTGGTTGATTTACTTCAACTTCTTGTATATAAAATTGTATAACTCCTGTTAACTTAAGACAAAGTTTTAAAATAATGTTTATTTGTTAAATATCTTTAATTAAGTCATTTAAAGTTTTAGGTATTAAACAGCAGGATGTAGTTCCTTTTTAGTATTTACATTTGGCATTACTGACAGAGAGGGAGAACCATTTTCACAGGATCTGGCAACTCCACGGTCAGCTGTTTGAAAACTTCAAAGTTTGTTTTTGAGTCAACAAAATTATTTCCTAAAGGAAATACAGATAAATTAAAGCTGCAATCTATGAGCCTGGTTTACCGGCAATTTGGAGCGTCCTTGAGGACCATTTCCCGAATTTTCCACCCACTCGTAGTACCACACAACACCCAAAAACTCAGGGCACCTCTGGAAAACAAGAGATTTTACACCGGTAAAACAATGGATTTAAAGGATCTGAAGTACCTAAATCAACAGGAGGCCATCGCCGTGGACCAGGAACTCTTCACGGAGTACAAGTTCAGCGTGGACCAGCTGATGGAACTGGCGGGATTGAGCTGTGCCCACGCGGTGGCCAAATGCTTTCCGGCAGAAAAGCATCCCCGGATTCTGGTTTGCTGTGGTCCCGGAAATAATGGAGGAGACGGGCTGGTGGCCGCCAGACACCTTTCCCTGATGGGCTACACACCCACCATTTACTATCCGAAACCCACACCCAAACCGCTGTTCGAGAACCTCAGCCACCAGTGCCGACTGATGGAGATCCTCAGCTTAACGGAGTGTCCTTCGGTGGAGAGTGCATCCTGCAACTACGATCTCATCGTGGACGCCCTCTTTGGATTCAGCTTCAAGCCACCGGTTCGAGCGGACTTCGCCGCCGTCGTGGAGCTGCTGCAGCAGACCAAACTCCCAATTGCCAGGTGACTTTGGGTTCAATGTCTATCTAAAGATTGGGGTTCGCCTTATCAGTTTTATGCCATTGATTAAATCGTTTCCCACATAGATGTATTATAATTCATTTTGTCTGCATTATAATCTTTATTTTCATATTCATAATACTTTATATACATTCTAGAAATATTTAGAGAATAATTTAATCACATATATGATGACTTAGCTTTATGGAAGTTATACCATACCATAAGAAAAATGAATGTTAGTTCACGTTCCGATTATTTCGTATTTATTACAATCCTAAACAGATGAATTTATATCCCTGTCCTATATCATCAAAATGAGATTCTTACTTACTTTTTATACAAAATCGTAAACCCGCTTTACTTTTAAATTTACTTGTAATAATGAATAATGTAAACAGAGGTTGTCTTTCCTTGGAAATCATATCAAATTCGAATTTAATCTACTATCAATTTGGCCAATTACTATTCAGTTATGTGAATTTGAGACCACGATATTTCGGTACACATTTAAATTCCGTATAAATCCATTTTAAAAAGCGGTGGGTTTCCCAGTGGAAAGAGTCAATAGAAGGCATAAATTGAGCATCAAGGCATTTGTAAGGAAAGTTCTTGATAAGCATTACAAGCATACTACCGGAATCTTATAAAGCTGACCTATATATATGTCCCCTTATCCAATGCTAATGATATTTATCTGGGTTGCAGTGTGGATATACCCAGCGGTTGGGACGTGGAGAAGGGAAAAGTGACTGAGTGCGACCTGGAACCGGCCCTGCTCATCTCGTTGACTGCTCCGAAGCTTTGTGCCCGCCACTTCCGTGGCGAACATCACTTTTTGGGCGGCAGATTCGTACCGCCCGCACTGCAGCGCAAATACGGACTGAATCTTCCCGTCTATCCGGGCAACGAACTGTGCGTCAAGCTGTGATTTATACATTTATACGATTGCCAAATAAATAATGGAATCTTAAATTAAGGCTTCTTTCGCATTTCGGTCAAAAAAGTGACTGTGTAAGGGTGGAAATAAATTGTCGACGGTGAAAACAGTTTCGGTTTTTGGCAAAATAATGAATGTTACAAATATTTGTTCTACTTTTTAATGTAAATGTATTTAAATCTTTGCAATGCAATCCAAGAAAAGTGAAGTCATTACTTAAACAATTATTTATTTCAAAGAAAAAAAAGTTTATAAATATTTTAAAAGCTTCTCTGGGTAAGGTTTTATAAAGTTTTCATATTATAAGCTCTGTTATCCTTGTAAATTATTATAAATGACATTTTAGTTATATGGTTTTCACATATTTTATCTAAAGGTTTGGGTTCTCCCTCTGTTTTATTTTATATATTACATATTATATAAAGTCTACGATTAGGAAGTTAGCAAAATGTTATTAGATGTACATATATACATAACAAAACACTTTGCCAGCTTAATATTTCCTGGATATCTATTTGTACAAGCGATTGTAGTTCTTGCGCCGACGATCCTCCTCGAAGTTGTTGTTCCTGGCCCACTCCTTGAGATTTCCCTTGGAGCGCAGCATGGCTGACTTCGAGTCCACGTCGCGCAGCACGAAGGGCGAGAATCCGGCGGTGTAGTCCTGATCCAGGGCGTTCGTCTTGGTCTTGGCCACCCGCGAAGGCATCTGCCTGGGCATCGGTTGATCCTCGAACAGGATGGGGTTCCTCGAGTGCTTGCCGCCCTGGAATCGCGGCAGGCTCTGGTTCTTGTACTTGTTGGTCAGCGGCCTGCGCGTATTGATGTGTATCACCTGGCGTCCGTTCTCGTCCAGACTAACAGCCACCCGTTTCAAGGTCTTGTTGCCACAGTTGGGACAGAAGACCTTGGTCATGATGCTGGTAGTCCTGTAGCAGGCATAGCAACGCAGAATATAGGTGCGCAGTTGCTTGATGATCCTGCCATTCAGGGCGGCCAGGTGGAGATTTAGCTGCTTCAGGACATTCTGCAGGGCGTAATCGGTGGTCATGCAGGCCACGGGCGGCACTTCATCGGTCTCCACCTTGCCCTCGAGAGCTTTCTTGGCCTTCTTGATGTTGGAGTGCGTGATCCAGCCATCGTCGCCCACTTCTTCTTCGAGGTTTTGGCTTTGGGTTGGTTCCTGCGGCTCTGTTTCCTCGGTTTCGACTTCTGCCGGCTGGGAAACCAGTAGTTCCGAGAGCTCCTGCTCTTCCTCGGCGCTGGGTGCGCACTTGAGCTGCTCGAACAGCTTGTCCAGTTCCTCCTGACTGGGCTCGTCCTCCTCCGGTTGGGTGGGCTGGCTGGGGAGGGGTTCCTTTCCAGCTAACTGAGCTTCAATGGCTGCCTTTACATTGTCTATGAGTTGGTCTTGGAGTTCCTCCTCTTCCTGCTGATCCTGCTCCTCCTCTGGGCCATCCTCCGCCCCCTGGGAATCCTCTTCCTCCTCGGAGACCTCTTCTTCCTCCTCCCCTTCGGGCATGTACCAGCCCACCAGCCTCTTGTTGTTGGGATCCTGCATTTCCTCCGGTTTTTCTTTGGAGGCGATGGTCTGGGCCATCACGGGCTCCGTGCGCAAATGGTCGGTGCCCACGGTGTCCGCCTCCAGTTCGTAGGTGAGCGAGATGACCTTCAAATCGATCCCCGAGAGACTCGCATAGTCTCCCGTTCTCTTGGCGAACTCCACGCAGTGTCTGATGCTCTCGGGACGAGGTTCGCGCACCTGGAGGTCGAATGGCAGGACGCAGAGGCGACGGATCTGGCGCCTATGGCGCACCTCGGAGATCACATCCGGTACGGTGAGCACCTGCTCCGCATATTCCTGTAGGGGATTGGTTCTGGATTTAGAAGGGTTTACTTGGAGATCAAGAGAAACTCACGTTCAGGGGCACGGCGTTTATAAAGGCGGTGGTGTCCGCCACTAGGAATTTGATCTTTCCGCTCGTTTCTGCCATTTTCCGGTGTAATTTTTACATGGAAAACAAAGCACGTCAAAAAAATAAAACAATTCAGCACGTGTCGGGATAAGTGTGACCAGTCCGTTTCAATATATTATTGGAGATGGTAAATATACCAGTCCTGCTAAAAGCATATTTTTCAAAAAGTTTAAAGTTTGTCAGACTTGCATTTTAATTAGAGTTATTTGTTTTACATACTGAGAAGCTTTAAAAATTTTGTGATACATTATTTAATATTCACATAGAAATTTGTAGGCACGTAAACTTTTTGGTTGATGTGAACCTTACCAGAGAAACATGAATTTTGGGATTATAAACTTTAAAAACTGCTTAAGTTTTACATAGCTAATAATGTGAAGTATATTCGTAAATTAATCTTAAGGTCAATGGTTTACAAGTTTTGGAAATTAGTTAATTGAATTATGTTCATTTTACGGTTCCTATGGAAATACAATACATTTAACTTAAATTTTGATGAACAAATTTTGAGTATTTTATTATTTCGATGGTACACGGAATAGATTTGGCAACACATTTGTTTAAAGAAAAATATTGTCCATTTGATATACAAATTTTTACCGCTAATAACGAAGCCACGGCCAGCTTACATTGTAATTGTTCTGTATGTTGAGAGCAGACAATGGAATATTCTAGTATATCTACGATTGTTGGTAATTTAATCGGCACTGCTGTGGTCACACAGCATTCTGTCAGCCGCAGTGTCATCTCTAGTTTTCAAGCCAAAAATGGCGAAGTTTTCATTCGTATTTCGTCCAGATTGCGAGCAGTTTTCGTAAAAGGCGCACGAAAAACCGGAAAAATTCGGCCGGAGTCAGTGAAAAGGCAGACCAGCGGTGCCTAGGAATCGCCAGTGCACCACTGAAACCGGGCAAAAACAGGAAAAGCGAGTCAAAAGCAATGTGGAACCATTGGCAGGCGGCCGCCGTAGCGGCGGCCCCCCCACCACAGCCGTCGGTGCCGCCGCCACTGCCCGACGCACCTCCCCACCGCCCCCTCGGACGGGTCCTCGGGAGCACCCACATCCGTACCGCCGGCAATTGCAGGAGTTGTAGCTGCGCAGCCCACAGTCGCAGCCACAATTACCACCTCCTCCACCGCCGTCGCCACTGCAGCCTTCAACCCCTATAGCAGCGGACAGGCGACAGGGGCGGGCAACCCCTATGAACAGTATACGGCCGCCCAATATGCGGCCATGACCCCGGAGCAGCAGTACGCCCTGCAGCACCACTGGCACCAGTGGCAGACCTACCAGGCGGAGTACGCCAAATGGCATGCCCAGTACGGCGAGCAGGTAGGTTCTAGTGATTCCTTTGTCAATGCCCCTGTATTAACCCTCTGCTTCACCTTTTAGTACAAGCGTGAAATGGCCGCCGCCGCCGCCGTGGCCACAACTCCCGCAGTCCAAGGAGTCCCTGCACCCGTGGCAGCCGTTGTTTCGCCAGCTCCCGTTCCTGTGGTCGTTGCAGTGCCCGGTCCACAGGCCTATCCCGTCGCCCACAGCTATTACCAGGGCCTTGCGGTCTCACCGGCACCATCGACCACGCCAAATCCCACCCCAGTGGGCGCGCCGCCGCTGCCAGGGAAGATCATGGCCCAGCCGCAGATGTACAACCAGCCGCCGCCGCCGCCACCTCAAAAATCCGGCTACAATCAGCAGAATCAGATTCCCAATAAGATTCAAAGCAATGACAACCAAGGCATGTGGTCGGGACCGCCACCAATGCAGCAGCAGCAGCCGCCGCCCAACAGATTTGGCGGCCAAATGAGCTACAATAATAGCGGGCCTGACAACCAGGGCTTTCCCAATCTCCACCAGCCGCCGCCTTCACTGCAGAGACCACCACCGCAGCAGCCACAGCAGCAGCAAAACACCATGGACAACCAGTGGGGAAATAACAACCAACGAGGCGGTGGCAATAGCAATCGCCCGCCCTGGGATACCAGTGGTCCGCCGCCTGATAGCTCCGGGCCACAACCAGGATGCTGGGATGGTCCACCGCCGCAGAATGAAATGAACAACCGCTGGAGTGGGCCGCCACCGGTCAACAGCACGAACGACAACAATCGCCGCTGGGAAGGCCCACCAAATCAGACACAATCTGGCGGAGATCAGCAACAGAATCAGAATCGCTGGATGAGCGGACCACCGCCCAGCGATCAGAATTCCAATCAACAGCAGAATCAGAACCAGAACCGCTGGATGAGCGGACCACCGCCGAACATAAATGACCCGCAACACGATAATCAGCAGCAGCACCAAAACAGTAACAACCAGCAACAGAATCCCCGCCAGAATCGCTGGCAGAACAACAATTCCGATACGGAGGGACCGCCGATGAGGAATAACAACAAGCAGAACAACTTTCAAAGCAATCGAAAGAGCTGGGGGCCGCCAGACGAAAGAGGAGGAGATGAAGGCCCATTCACCAAGAACTCACAGTCTGATTTTGGCCAAGATCAGTCGTCTGGCAATAGTAACACCTTTGGCCAGCGAACGGGAAACTTTCAGGGCAACTATGGCAATAGTTTTAATAACCAGGATCAAGGTGGCGGAGGAGGAGGAGGCAACTTTGGCGGCAGTGGAGGAGGAGGTGGAGGCAACCAAGGCAGAGGCGGAGGTCCGGATAGCTTCGGTGGCCGAGGAGGAGGTCCCGGTCCGGATAACTTTGGCAATAACTTCAATAACAACAGTCGCCGCCAGAGCAATCGCTGGGATAACAATCGCAACCAAAATCAGGGATTCTCGGATGAGAGGGGAGGAGGAGGCGGCGGTGGAGGAGGAAACGATTCTGGTCCAGGTAATTACAACCAGAATCGTGGCAATTTCAACCAGCGCAACAACTTCAACCAGCCGCAGCAGCAGCAATCTCAAAACCAATCTCAGCAGAACCGCAACCAACAGCAGGCTCCTGACCTGGATGAGGCCAGCTTCGATCGATTGTTTGACCAGTGGGAGCAACAGTTCGAGGACTGGAAGCGGGCCAATGCCAATCATCCGGATCGCGATGAGTATCGCCGCTACGAGGAGGAATTCGAGAAGCAGCGGCGTCGCATTGCCGAGAGAAGGGAACAGATGCGCCGGCGTCGTCAGCAGCAGATGAGTGGCTCGGGAGGATCGGCCACGGATGCAGCGAAGGAAGGAGCCGGAGCATCCAAGCCCGAGGATAAGGAGCCAAAGGAAGATCGTGGATCTGAAACATTCGGAGGTCCAGGCAATTTTGCTGACCAGGGACAGGGACCTGGACCCAATTTCGGACCGGGCAACAGACAACTGGGGCATCCTGGTCCTTTCGCGAATGAAAGTCGCTCTTTCGAAGGCACCGGGGGTCCCGGTTTTAGAGGCAACAAAGGTCCACCACAGGGAATGCAGAACCAATACCAAACCGCCCAGCAAACCATCCAGGAGACATTGGACAAGCCAGTCCAGGAGCAAGCTAAGCCAGTAGGTCCGCCTGTTGCCAAGACGTCAATAACTCCAGCTCCCCCGGTAGCTCCTCCGATTGGTCCCGTTCATCCGACTTCCCTACCACCGCCCGATGTTTCAGTTCCGCCAGTGGGACTGCCACCAACAGTGGTGCCTGCTCCGCCAGTGGGTCCGCCATCGCAACCCCCTCCGATTTCTACCAATCTTGGCAAGCGCCGGCAACCAAGTGGTGCTGGTGTTTCCACGCCCGCTAAGCAGGTCAAAGAGGAGGAGCACATACTCACCATTTCCCTGGACGACGACGACGACGAGGACGATGAATCGCCCGCGGTGGACACGCCCATGGGCAGCATTTTCAAGAAGAGCGATGGCATCCCGGGGCTGGACTTGGTGGCCGATGGCGATGGAAAGAATCCGTCCTCGGTCTTCGATGTGGAAGACAAGGCTTCAGACCAAACAGTAGCAGATGCCTCCGTCTCCGGAAACCAGACAGGCGCACCAGCCGCCAACAAGAGCAACGAATCCCTGAGCAACGTACTCAAGGACCCGAACTTCTTCAACAATCTCACCCAGGCGGTGGCCAATGTCCAGGAGCGCGAGCAGCGCGATCGTCAGCAGCAGCAGGATCCGGAGCAGCAGCCGGATCAGGAGACGGGAGCGGATGGACGTCCGCTGTCCTTTGCCGAGTGGCAGCGCAAGAAGAATGGCGGCAACGATAGCAAGTCGCAGGATTCCCAAGAATCGATGAGTCCCAGTGGCAGTGAGCAGGCTGAAAACAGCGGACCACCAGGTGGTCCGGGTGAGGGTCCAGGTGCGGGTCCAGGCTCTGGTCCTCGTCCCAACTCACGACCTGGTCCCGGTCCCAACTTTGGACAGAATCAAGTGCCTGGCAGCAACTTCATGGACTTCGATGGCAATGGCCCCGGCTTCGGTCCGCCGGGCAGGAACTTCGGACCCAACGGACCAGGACCACGAGGGCCAAACTTTGGGCCCAACTTTGGCCCGGGTCCAGGGCCGCATTTCGGACCCAATGGACCGCACTTTGGCCCCGGGCCGAACTTCAGACACAATGGCCCCAACTTCGGACCCAACTTTGGGCCGAATTTTGGACCGGGTCCTCGTAACTTCGGGCCTCGCGGACCCGGTGGTCCCTTCGGTCCTCGACGCGACGATTTCGGTGGTCCGCCGTTCGGCGGCCCGGGACCAGGGCCCAACTTCGGACCAGGGAACGGACCCAACTTCGGACCAGGGAACGGGCCCAACTTCGGACCAGGGAACGGACCCAATTTCGGACCAGGAAACGGGCCCAACTTCGGACCAGGAAACGGACCCAACTTCGGACCAGGAAATGGGCCCAACTTTGGACCAGGAAACGGACCCAGCCCGCGGGGATTCAACGGTGGCGGCGGTGGACCGAACAGTGATAATCCTTTCCGCCGGCAAGGTGGACCACCGGGACCCGGATTTGACGAAGGTGATCTTGGCGCACCGCCACCACGAGGTCCCAGGAACTTCCCGAACCGCAACAGCTTCGGAAATCCAGGAGGACCGAACAACAATCGGAAGAACTGGAATGACGGGTATGTGTCCCAATTCGTTTCTAAGTTTGTTCACTTGATTAACTCTTTTTCAAAACGTATAAATTATACACTGAACGTTATGTCTTGACAAAAATGGGGGAAGGGGGAAGGCACTTTCCCCCTTGATACTCTTTTGAAATCCAAAATTAATTGTCTGATTGTCTGAAAAAGATATAAGTTCATTATCTTTTCAAGATTTCCCCTGGTTTAGCACTCGCTTTGATTTGTGTGGATCGTATTATCTGCACATATAGATATAAATTATGTTCTTGAGGGGAAATTAAATGAGGGATGCATGATTACAAGTTATTTTAAATATTAGGTTCCTTACCTAATTTTTAAAAATATATTTTTAGGTAAGGTATAGCTGCTACTTGCATTTATAGTTAATGTTATTATTGTTTAAATATTCAACCACCCACATGATAAGGAAAACACAATATGAGTATGGTTTAAATATATTTTTGTCCGAGATTTCCTAATAGGGGGTTCGGAAACTTAATTTAACGTTTTTAAACAAAATAACCAAAATATTTTATATGTTTTTCTAAGATGAATAATCAGTTCTTCAGCTGTTATTGTATATAATATCCGAAAGATTCCGTTTTAACCGATTGAAATTCAGAAGTGATGTACTTCTTGTTTTTTAAATAAATCTTAAAAGTTAATTCGCTCATCCCCCTTTCCCACACTTTGTCCCTTTTATCTTTCTCTATCTGTATTGATATCATCCAATTTTATGTAGTTAAATTGCGCAGGCCTTTTTCTAGTTATCGTTAATGCTGGAATTTCGATTCCAACCCCGTTTTCTCTTCTTCTCTTCTACTTCTATGCAATACTGATAAATACTGAAAAAACCATATTACCAAATAATGTTACAAAAAAAACCATCATAAAAACGAATATGTTACCGCTGGTATTGATGTATGTTGGCGATGCCCCCGATACATATAATATGCCCATATAATACCCATCGATCTGTGTCTGATCCATTGTCTGTGCAGCAAGAAAAAAGGGCGGTAAAAACCTCCAGCAACAACAGCAGCAGCGCAGGAGCTGAGCTCTGAACTCTCAAACCCGGGATCCGATTAGGTGCCAGATTATTAGGGGCGGCTATCGAAAGGGCAGATCATATCCCCCCAAAAATGATATATATCTCTAAACAGATCGAAGAGTCCAGGCGCCAGACAAAGACCTATAATTAGAATTTAAGGTTACACACATCTGACACAACCACAGAAAACGATTATGAAAAACAATATGTACTGAAAATAATTTTGCTGCCCGAAATTTTATATTATTTTTTTTCTTATTTGACTCTGTAACAACACTCGAAAAAGAACGTGTTCTGGATTCCCTATGTTACTCTTAATTTTCAGTAGTTTTAATATCGCCGGTTGAATAATTTTTTTGAGTTCCAATCTATTAAACTGAAAGCAAACATTAAGGGCCGGTTTCTCAATGTTATTTTATAATCATGCATCTGCCTAAAACTCTTAACTAGCGCCTATGTTCTAGGTAAAATGTGTCAGTTGGCGAAGAAAATTTGAACAATAGAGGTTTGCCTACATTTCTTTTTCAGGCCTTGATTTGTGAATCTTAACATGAGATCGGCCCTAATTTTTGCATAGTGGAAAATGTAATTCTTTTATAGCGCGAAGTTATATAAGTCGTATATGTTAAATATATACTATGGAATCGATATCAATAAAGGAAGATAAAACAAAAGTAATGTTATTTGGGGAAAAACAAATAATGAAACCCAGTAGAACGATCCGATTTTGGTAATCTGTCCGTCTGTATTTTACATTTCAGTTGTTCCAGATTCTAACATAAATGTTTCCGATCGCTAAACAAGATTCTGGTTGGGTTATACATATATTTAATAATGCTTTATAATAGTACATCTAAGGGATTTTGTGTCAAGGTCTATGATAAAATAGTAAACAATCAGACAAAGTTTTAACATTTGGTACTGATATACTACTATTGGTTTTTGTTTAACCACCCTATGGGGTCTTTCATAACTTAAGAAATGCACTTGATGATGTTTTGATATATATAAAATTAAAATCCGTTTGATTCTGGTTCCATCCGCTTCTATATTGCCGATTCAAAGCATTTTAGCTTTAGGTAAATAAAACCGTGCATTTCTTAACTGTGGTAATCTAGATAGATTAAAGAAAACTAGAATTTCTAAATAGGTCAACATATGTCCGATAAGTCTAAACAACTACTTAGGTATTTGTCCGATATTGCTGGTTTAATTTAAAATAGCTAACTCTAGTAGAATTATTAATTTATTTGAAGTTTGATAAGCAATATTTATTATAATATTATTAATATTATAATATTAACCTATTATAATATGTACCTATTTGTATGTGTTATTTGAATAATTAAATCATTGTGGTCCGTTGCAAATGTAAAACAAATTAATGTATTCATTTTATATTGTTTCTACCGAAATGCACGGTTAATTTAGTAACCAAAGTATCCGAATACTTTAATATTTTGCCCGTTTACTTATGAAACTTTCTGGTTAAGCCCAAATCTTCCGATTTAATAAAGCTATACAATAAGCTTTAGGCAGGTTTATGCGGTTGAATTTTTTCAAAACATATTTAGGCCTTCCCTTGGGAAGCTATTTATAAGCAATGCAGTTTGCCTAGTCTAAGTTTAGGGCCAAATATATACGTATCTATTTATGCTCGTCTGAAATTTGTGGGCTGAGTGACATGTAAATTGTGCACCTGCCCTCAGTACCCTGCCACGCCCCTCCCTTTATCCAAAAAAAAAACTATTTTAGTATATTTCAACCCAAGTAAAAGTTCAAGTGTTTTTCTTTTGGTTTTTAAACATTGAAAACCTAAAAAAAAATTGAAATCTAAAATCAAATATAAATAAAACAAAAACAACTGCTAAAAAATTCCTGAATAACGAAACCAACAAACGTAACGAAACAATGTTTACTAAAATCGCCAATGGTGTGTTCCACCCACCACCTTCCATCAACAAAAAAAAACAAAACTTAAAGGCCGGAGCAACTGCAGCAACAGAAACCATTCCAAAGCAACAGCAATGAGCCCATCTATCGACCGATAAAGGTGTTTGACTATTCCAATAACCCGTCAGCCGCCAAGGTGATCGATTATGGCCACAAGTCGGCCGATGGAAACCCCAGCGATGGGCCTTCCGGTCCGTCGCCCTCTGACAGAATGCCGGAATTCAGACCCGTGAAGACCTTCGAATATGGCCACGCCTCGTGCTCGGGACCGAATCGCATGGGAATGCAAGGAGGAATGGGAATGGGAGGAGGTCAGAATCAAGGAATGGCAGGTGGCCCAAACCAAGGAATGGCAGCAGGAGCAGGAGGATTTGGAGGACCTGGGGGACCAAGGGCTCCCAACAGCAAGAGAAAAAATAAAAGAAAGAACAAACAGCAACATCAGGAGGAGCGAATGCTGTTCCATCAAAACAAACAGCTCAATTTGATTGTGGTTGAAGAAACCAAGTCATTAAATCCAGGGCAGGATGAGGTGAGTGGTCAGCCAAGAGAGAGCATCGGCATTGGTCTTTAATCCTGTTCACAATCATCCCAGCAGCAGCAACAGCAGACCCAGGAAGATTTCCAGGACCAGTGCGATGAGGAGCTAGCAAATGAACCCAATGATCTCGAGGATATTTCCGATGGTGAAGAGTAAGTCAAAGAACTTATATTAATGTAATGGTTTGTTGTAAACGATTCAGCGGTAGCCTTGCAGAATGTGCCCCAGAGCCATCGCTGCATCGATTTCAAACCACCCTCAAGCCTTTGAAAAATCAATAAACTGATTATTCTTTTAATTTATCATTAGCAATCTAACTCCCCTGGATTGCGATGACGATGACGACGAGCTCCCACCGCCGCCGTCGATGAGCCGATGGAATCAGGGAAATTTCCAGCAGCAGTTCAATCAAAACCAGTCCCAATTTGTTTCCGCCAACTCGCAGCGTCGTCAGCTAGGCGGCGAGGTAGAAAGATCGGCTCCACCACCACCAACAATGTCACTTTTCCCCTCGGCAGCCAATGCCAATGAGAAGATTCCCAATGTGGTCACCGCCCCCCATTTGGAGATGAGCGTGCCGACTAACGAGAATCGCAATACCATCTCCGTGGACGATGTGCTTCTGAATCCGGGTCGCTTGACCCGTCCCAAGCGCATCTGCATTATTTTGCGAGGACCTCCTGGTTGCGGCAAATCACATGTGTCGCGCCTTATTAAGGAAAAGGAGCTGGAGATGGGTGGTGCCAATCCGCGAATCCTCAGCATCGATGACTATTTCATCATCGAGAACGATTATGTGGAGAAGTGTCCCATAACGGGCAAGAAGGTGAGAGTACCACAGTATTAAAATGCTTTCCATTAAATTAAATAATTGAACATGATCAATATATCAATTTCCATGAATTTTGGTTTTTTATACTATTATGTCTGTTAATTTGTCTGCCATGTTTAACCAAGTAAAAAGCATAGTCTGATATGATCTGGCCAAATATCTATGAACCGCTGATAAATGAAGTAATCAAAACTAAAAATGATAAAGAGACTTTATCTAAGAGTACCTAAAATCAAATAGTATAATTTTAGCTATGATTCTTTCATTAATTTTTGCAGATACCCAAGAAAGAGATACTATATGAGTATGATGACAGCATGGAGGAGACCTACATGCAGTATTTAATCAAATCGTTCAAAAAAACGCTTACCGACAATCTGTACGATTTCATAATCGTTGACTGCAACAACAACTCACTGCGCACGCTGAATGAATTTTATTGCCACGCCAAAGATTCAAATTTCGTGGTGGGTTCGCTGTCTAAAAATCTATATTAAGATTAAAGATATTATTCATTTATATCTTGTATTTATTATAGCCCTACATAGTGGATCTGCACTGCGATCTGGAGACGTGTCTTGGTAGAAACTCCCACCAGCGCACCGAGGGCGAGATTCGCGTGGTGCTGGACAACTGGTGTAATACGCCGCTGCAGTACATCAAACTGGATGTGGGTTCGCTCCTCGAAAACGTCGTCGAGATGGAAGATGTTGAGGACATGGCTACGGTAACTATGCACTAAGACGGTGGTGCGACGCAAAAGCAATGGCTACTGCCATGCTCGCCGCGGATCAAGAGCACGTGGGGCTTTTGGGCTATGTCAGTGGAAACGCTGCCTCCAAACCGAAAATCTCTAGTCATGTTTAGTTTGTAAGCGATTTTATGATCGATGAGCACGAAAATATCTTAAATTATGACCTGGCCGGGCCAAGTTCTTAAAAAAAAAGGAAAATTCAAAACGATAGCGAATCAATCCTAGACTAAGCTCTTCACTGAATTCAATTCCCTATATATACCAGTATATATATATATATATATATATACCCAATTTATGACATGCAATGTGCCATTCTAGACTTAGCCTAAGAACAAATTACGAACATACGTTTAAGCTCTTAGTAAAGGCAACTCTGCAAGCTGGTCAAAGCGAACGTTTTGTTGATTTATGGCGGCTTCGTTTCACTTTCAGGACGATAATGCCTGCGCCGAGGATGGGGCAACTGCGGGAGGACCAGCGGTGTCCGAGGATGCGGCTGTCGAGGTGACGGACGACAGCAATAGCGCCGACGCTTCCAACGATGTAAGTGTTACCCGTAATTGAATATCAGTCGATTCATCAGTGGATTCATTTTGAGACATATGTGCGGAGGAAATGGTTTACCATTTAATTACTGATTAGAATAGACTCGAATATGGGATTTTTTCTTAAATTTGTTTGTTCTTAAATGAATGCGTTCCCTATGATAGTCATATATAATTTAACACTTACATTCATTAATAGGATTATGCTAGTAATGCCTTGTCATAATTCTAATCCCATCATTTTGTTCGATTTATATTTTGTGTTGAAGTGGAAACAGTAAAATAATTAAATAGTGCCGAATTGTCTTTATAAATCTTTGCTACTTAACACCAGTTATTTGTTATTAAATTAAATTTATTTGTCCTGGATAAATCCAGTCAGTCAGTAGAAACGTAGAAACAGAGAATTGGTAGCTGTGTATGTGCTGTGGGCTTAGTGTCGGTTTTAAATTTTTTAAATTTTCCTTGAAATTTTCCCATTGCATTTTAATTTATCCGGCTCCTAATTGTGCGTTTCGTGTCCTCCACGTGCAGTGCGGCTTTCTGAAAAGCAAATGGGAATGTGACAACACTGAGGACAATCTGGGTGAGTCCCTATTCATTTGGCCTTAATTTAAGCCAACGACTGACTGAATCCTCTTTTCCAGCTCGCTTGGATGGCACCAAGCGCCTGATGCAAAACCGCAGGACGGCTAGCATGGCCGACTATCTCCAGCTGGAGGATTGGGAACCACCGAGAACCTCGGCCGATGGCAAAAAGCGAGTGAGTATAAATAAAAGATAATGTCCAGATATTGGGGTTTTAATAGGGTTTCAAATAACGCTATTAAAATATTAAGTAAAGCATTCACAAAATATTTTTTACGTGAAGGAGAAAAAGACGGCAAGCTATATTGCTATCTCTATTGTACCATATCAAATTGTTGTATTTAGCATGCCAGTTTAGATATAGGTAATATATTGATTTGCTGCTAATTTAAATTTTAGATAGTTGTGTAATAATTTTTCTTAACTACTTTAAACTGTAGTTTTAATGATCTCTTAAACTTTTATGATCTAACCTAAACTTCGTGACAAACAATAAGTCAACACTTTATGGATTTATTTATTTCACCTTATTATATAGGTCAGTACTTTTGGGCTTTGAATACCACACATTTTTTGTGTATTTGAAAAACGAATAATCTATCACTAAATTAATAATGCATATTAAAGAGTAGTTAGTTTATATATAGCTTTTTGATTGTAGTTAGATATTAGGAGAGTTAGTGTAATCGAGATCATAGCACCTAGCGTTGTTTTTGACCCAAGAAACGTTTCTGAAAGGCATTTTTTCTGATTAAAATCGTATGCTAAAGCCCATTTAATCCGTTCCAGGTTCGATGGGCAGACATCGAGGAGAAGCGGTCGCAGGAGAAGATGCGCGCCATCGGTTTCGTGGTGGGTCAGACCGACTGGAACCGCATGATGGACCCCAATGCGGGCAGTCGGGCCCTGAATAAAACCAAGTACATCGAGCGCATCAAACGTCGCTAGGCGGCAATTAAAGCCACGCAACTGATTCAAAAACTCGAAGCATTTCCACTAAACACCAAACACTGACGATTTCCACATGGGGATCACCATCCGATAACAAAAGGCTCAAAGACCCTGAATTACGATCAATCATCTATCATCCGAATGCTATCAGTATAATTTCGCAATAATCAGTCATTTGTAGTGCTGCATTTACGAAACGAATTCAATTTCGTTAATCACACACGTACATCCGTAACTATCATCCTAGACAAATAGAACAAATGTGGGTGTATTTTAATTGTAAATTAAATCAATTCGCCTGAATCCGAATTACATCCAACGATTTTTTTAGATTGACAAAATATAATTGTATATTAAGATAATGCTTGTTTTAAGTTGGCGGGTTCATTGAACTCTTCTGCCGTCCATCCCGATTTCCGTGCGACATCTGTCTCTGTTGCTCTGTAAACAACCATTGACAGCTGTTCGCTGGGGGCGGTGGGCGTGGCTGGGTGGGGGGTGATTGGATGCTGGCTGCATCGCATGTGCTCATATGCTTGCCAAGGTGAATTACAGATGACGGCTCCAGGCAGAGTTGCACAACATGGGGCGCATATGGAGGCGGCTGGATTTGGGAAGGGGTGTTTCATGGAGGGGGTGGGTGAGGCGGTGGATCAGGGGAGTTGGATCAGGAGGAGCACCAATAGTCACCAATGGCTCGCACCCACACTCAAGCACACGAGCCCATTGACAGTCAGTGCTGGTTGAATCAAAAAAATAGTTAGATATAATTTTAAAATATTTATTCCCGGAAATCTAATGTTTTTTTTAAAACAAAAATGTATCCTAGCCTTTGGGTAATCTTTTTAATCCAACGAATAGATCTGGGTTCTTACATAAATTAAAAACAGTGCATTCTTTAAACAGTGAATCCAGTGAAATACAAATACCCTTCTATTTATAACTTTTATTTCTTTATTTGCTGCACTCATTAGGGTTAAAGTTATTATTTTTATAGGTTTTTGGATCTTACAAAAGTTGATTTAATAGAAAAAATTACGTATTGACCCCCAAATTTGTTTGACTATGTTGGCAAAAATGGTCACTATTGTCTGACCATAACAATAATCGGTTTAGTTTCATATGTATATGTTTTTCGAAACACAATCGGAAGTGCCACAGAAAGGTTTTGAGATTTGAAGTCCCCTAAAACGAGTCTAAAAGAATGCTGTGTAAAATGAGACGTTCTCTTTTGGACTTTATGAATACAACATCCGTGCGATTAAGTGATTTCAAATCTCTTGAGATTTTTAGATGTCCTCTTTTATGTCCTTTTTTATGACTATTATTTTGTGATGCAAAAATGGCCAGATCTAGCGGGTAAATAGCCGAGGGCGAAACTCTGGCGGGCGATTTTCCGAGTCCCTGGCACGAAGTGGAATCAAAAAAGCGCTTCAGTTTCAGTCGAGCAACGCAACTCGAACGCAACGGTACATGAACGTCGGACGGCGAGCGAAATTCAGTGCCCCCGATAACAACATCTCTCCAAACACCGAACTGCAGCTTAATTAAATAAATAACGTTTTCCTTTTTTTTCAAGTTAAATAAATATATAGTAATAGTTGCTAAAATTTCAATTTCCAAACACACCTATAGTGATAAAATCCCCGAAAATCAGCAGACGTATTTTGAAGTTACGTCAAAAGGAGTCGCGAAAGAAGAAGAGCCAGAGGAGAGGAGAGAAGAGGAGGAGGAAAGGAGAGAGCCGAAAAAAGAAAAATAACAACAAAGCAAACGCACGCGATAGGAGTAACTGTAAATGTGAAAGGATAAAATAGGAGAAAGTAGAAATCAGCGAAAGGACTTTATTTTTTTTTGCTTTTGTTTTTGGCGCGTCGTCGCCGTTTTGCCTTTTGTTTTTATTATTTTTGCCTCGTCCGTGTGCCTTTGTTGATTGCTCTGCAGCCGGCTTTGCCCCAAAAATAAGGGAGGGGGGGTGTTAGAGCGAATAGGGGGCGACACTAACCACTGAGCCACGACAGCTTATGTAAAGCGTGCTATGGAAGCATGTCGTCCACTTCCAGCTCCGTGCTAACGTTGTCATCGTTTAATCTATTATTTTTCACCCAAGGTAAGCACTTGACACTTTACATAACTCCCCCATTTCGGTCCCGATTACCCGATTGGGATTAATGCTCGTCCAGTTGGGTGGCTGACCCAATTGGAGTCCAGTTGGGATGTCCCCGGAGTGCGTAATAAATTGTGGGCACTTTTCTTCTGGTTTATGTGTATTTTGATGACTTCCCAGGGATATCTGCGTAATGTAAAAATTAAGATTAAACTTTGTTGGTAATTTGGTTAAATTAGAGGATTAATTTAACGACACAAATAAGAGAAATAGTGCTGTTTTTTATGTTATCATTAACTTTGTGGCCATTTTGTGGTCCGACTTTAACTGAAATGCCTTCACAATGTCTTAAGTCTAAGCTTATGAAATATTAAGATATTATTTGATGATTTAAAGACATTTAAAGGGATGTCTAAAATCAAATATTTCATGTCCTGATTATAAATTATAGATTTTATTCTTAAAAGAAAAATTATAAAAATATGTGTAATTTTATTATTGTCACCTATATCAGAAGTCTTAAAGCAACTCTATTGTTTAAATATTTTAATTAAGGACGTTTTGCAGTAGGTTTGAGTTGGTTATTTCCGCAGCTGTTTAAACTGGCGTTCAAATTCCATGAAGCTGTTTACAGATTGTGCCATCCACAGTCGCACAAGATAATAAATCTCAGTCAAAGTGCCCTAAGCTTGGGGCGCAACCTAACCCCCGGGTCCTAAATAAATCCCAGTCCATTTAAGCACCCACCAAAGCGGCCTGACCAACTTGATTTGCATGCAAATTGCGTATAAATCCTTGAATTGTTGCTGCAACAGCGCAACCTCAGCGAAGAATGCCTCTCGATTTCAAAAAAAACGAAGAGATGGGGCAGTTGACTTGGCCAGACTCATTATTTGGTAATAGCCGTCGTCGCTGAAAATGTTTGCTTTTAATTAAAACAAAAGGCGGTTACATAGTGCTGTTTGCCAAGACAAAATTCCCACAGCTGTTCATTTGGGCAAATTGATTTTCTGGGCCTAATTGCGAAAAGAGTGTGGAGGACCAAAGTGTGGCTACCAATTTGGAAACTTTTCGACAAATTAAAGAGCCGAGAAGATCGGGTGGCTGCTGTCAAGGTCGTGGCGCCAAGAATATACCCTCCAATCAAATTGGATTCCCACTGTTGTTGACCAAACACTGCGGTTTTCGGCACTTCGACACCCCCAACTGCACCTTCGAGAAAAGCGAAGTACATGCAACAAGGGTTCTGCACTATTTTTAGACACTTGCCACTACCCAGGCCACAAGGGTCTCCACTTTTGGGCAATGTCGGTGTTTCGAATGCCCTATTCAGCTGCCACTATTAAATCTGGAAATTTACACGAAAAGTACTTTTACGGATATAAAAAGCTTAACATTAACCGCAAAAAAAATAATAATAATATTTCGGGCTGTCTTATTAAGTCATAAAAACTTAAAAAAATAAAAACCATAAGTACGCTTAATATTTTGTTGAGTCCCAGCATAATTTTAGAGAACTATTCGAGTGTTTTCAAATCTCTGATGATTTTTTGGTAATGTTATTTTGTATAAGCTTTTTTGAAAACTCTCGTTTCGAAAAAGAGTATAAAAAAGACAATGCTGGGGATGTGTGGCTTGTTAGGGGCCGGATTTCAATGTCAATGCCAAAAAAAAAATGGACGAGTGTCACACACACGTTCACCAAAAAAACATGCTCCCACACTCATTCACTTATCCACTTGCATTGATTTTCCGCTTGGTTACTTGATTCAAAAAGCCAAAAGGAGGGGCAGCAAAATTTGATTATTTTTGTTTGGTCCTGATTCTAATTGCACACACACTGGCACACACAAAGCCCCCAGAAATAGGCAATAAAAAAATGCATTTTGCAATTATGCCAACCAAATGGAACCAGAAGTACGGCGACAACAAAAAGTTCAACAAGTGGGCGGGGTCGGCGCTGGGGCGGGGACGTCATTACGGAGAAAGTCCTGTTCCCTGTCCCATGTCCTCCGCCATCCTCCACCCCCCCTGTTCACTCTTCATCTGCTGTCTGGTTTCTCCTGCAAAACAAATAAAGTGCGAAATGAGAACTGCCATAGAACGGTTACAGTGGGTTGAAATCTTTTCAAATTTCGACCGATAAGAAAGAAAATAATAATTGTAAACGTAAAAAAAAAAATAATTAAAAATTAAAATTTATTTTTAAATATATTAGAATTTTCTTAAAAATATAAAAAAATCGAATGAAAAGGTCAAATCAATTCTTATAAAAATCTTAAAAGCTTAAAAAAACACTTTTTAAATCTTGAAAAAATCAAAAAAATTCTTGTTTAGTTTACTTCAAGATTAACTTCATTTTTGTCCGCTTTTCGACCACTGTGCTGTGTGGAAAACCCGAGTTGAGCCAGAGGCTGGATTAGCTCTTGTCGTGACCTCGTGGCCCGTTGGCATGCAAAATGCAACTAATTATGAATTTTAATTAATTCTGGCATTTTATTATGGTTGCCGCTGCTGCTGTGCAGCATTTCTGCCCGTGGGCAATAATAATAATAAAGTGACTCGGGGAATTGCAGTGTAAGTCTACAGCATTTTCTATCGCCTTTCCCTCAGACTTTTTCCGGCTGGCCAAAGAAAAAATATATAAAACTAGCTGGAAATAAAAGTAAAATGGGGGGCAAAACAAGAACATTGAATGGACTCTTTTGTTAGGTTTTCGGTTGTGTTTCCCTCTCCCGCAGTCAAGTGTGTGCCATTCAGTTGTTTCTGTCGTTTGATTGGGCCGTATTCGTGGCATTTCGACCATGGGAGATTGCATTTCACTTTGACCGTTGAAGAATGCCACGACCACCAAGGAAATGTTTTTATTTTTGACTGCAAACTTTTTTAACGTATTCATTGGAATGTAAAAGAATGTAAAGTCCTTAGAAAGTCATCTCGTTTTGGTGGCTTTTAGCATAGAATTTTACCAACCGCAGGAAACCAAATTCCTTTTGTAAGTTCCAGCTATTTTTAGCAGAAAATAATTGCCAAAAGATTTATTTGGCCTTATTTAAATTGATTTTTGCGGTGAGAGTTTTCCCTGAAAATATTTGCTTAAACTAAAACATTTCTTAGTTTTCTGCTCATGATCATTTTAGTCTTTGTATGTATAAAAATAAATATATTTACTTTGTGTATTAAATTTTAAATTACTAATAATATTGAAATTGTAATTCTCTTTTCAAATACATTTTCTGTTGATGTTTTATTTGTTTTTATTTGCTTAGCACACTTTTCTCTTTTATCCGCTTCCCTGTTTTTTGTTGTGCCATTTATTTTATTATTTTGTTGTGCCAGCAGAATAATCGCATAGTCTGCTTTTGAGGGCAACAGCTGCATCTGACATTTGTGCCCCCTATCTTAACCCCTTAAACTCCGAGCCCCTATGCTTAACCCCTGTTGTGCACACTTATGCCTGAAAGCCTTATGAAATACCAATTTAATGGTCTTGTGGCTTAAACTGCATTTTGCCAATTTATCCGTTTCTTCTTTGCCCTTTTTCCCTTTTTGTTGTCTCTGCTGGAATCGATGGACATTCTGTGGTCGTTCTAAGCCAAATGCATTATTAAGCTCCATAAAAATGTCAGGGCTGTCGTAAAAGTACACATAGCACAGAATTTACAGGCATTTCAGACTACAAAATAAAGAATTGAATAAGATACCGTAGAAATGCGAAACCAAAATAACCATTTATACGAATGTTATAATGGTTTTGATAACCCTTTTTCCGCTTTATAGTTAAATGTATATTTGTATTCAGATAAAAGCACATTAATATATCAAGAAACTCGAAGTTTTTAGTTAAATATGATACAAAAACTGTTTTGATATTTTTTCCGTGTAGTTAAATGTATTCCCATGCACAGTGTTGTTGTTTGTTTTGTCCCATGTGTTGAGGGGTATCAAAGTGGGTTTTTGGGCGTTTGCCGGTGTCACGGAATGCAATCGACACTCGTTGGGGGAGTAATAAATATTGCAACACTCAATCCCACTCAAAATTGGCAGATCCAAGTTGCCATGTTTCCCAGGATACTATTTTCCAGGACAGGATTGTGGGCACTCACTTCATTAACCGAAGTGAAATCAATCGAAACGGCGGCTATTCCATTATTCACCAGTCACGCACCTTTGTTTGCTGTTCGAGACTCTATGTCAGTCCTCAATTAAATTATTTAAATATAGATTGGAATATATATGTCGGCACGTAGACAACGTTAATGCCATTTGATTATGCAAACCGAATTAGGTGGCGAGATTAAAATCTAGTGGGCCTAGGATAAGATGCATGTTTGCGGCTGAGAGGGAAGATTTGATAAAATTACTGGCGAATAGGGGATTATATTTAATGACAATTTATTGCCTTAAATGGCTATAAATCAAATTAGAATTAACATAAATTTGATAGTATTATTCAATAAAACGAGCGTTGTTTTATTTTAAAGAAGTGTATTGTTAATTATTATCAAATAATTTCAACTGCACATTTGCTCAGCTAGTTAGCAATCTTTAAGTTACCTGTCAACAATAATAATGTATAAAATATGCCGTTAAACAAGAAAACCCACTTTGTATAGCCTTGAAAAAGACACATATGTAAATATTTAAATACATTTAAAATGCACTGTTAATTGAGGCAGAAAATTTGATGTGCGAATAAATTAAAAGCGGTTAAAAGAAATCAATTCATGCGCTTAATGCCTGCGTGAATGATTTCCCATCCTTTGAAGTTGCGAATTTTTTTAATTTAAATTCAGAACCCGTCAGAAAAACACCTGGATGGGGATACATTTCAAAAGGACCTCGATGTCAGCCTGCACAGATACTCAAGTGGGTGCTTGAAAAGTTTGCCCCTCCGTCGACCCTTGAATCCTTCCTTTGGCCATTCAGTTTCGATCTCCCAGCTGGGTGCCATCAGCAAAACTTTATTTCGCCGCTTGTTGCTTCAATCACCTAACAGAGGGGCATATCCGAGGATATGGCACGTGTAGGACGGATAAAGGATATAGCCGGGACCACAAATTATGCAAAATGGCCGCAGCAGGCAAACAAGGAGCGTGCTGCGAAATGGGGGAAAAATACAGCAGGGATTCCGCAAACTTAAGACATTAAAAATTCAATTCTCCATCACAGTAAAGTTCCTATTTTTATGACTCTCACTCAAAGCATTTTTAACTTGATAACCAATTTATTTTATGTGTGCTGTTTGAAGTATTTTTAAATAATAATAACAATTAACGATCTTTAAAATTGATGATCAAGAAATAAGCTTTTATATTAAACATCCAAAAATATAAAAACTTCTAACGAAAAATTCAACTTAAGGAACCACCTCTGTTCCTTGGCCGTTTCCCTAGTTTGGCACAAATTGAGGCGAGTGCTTAAATAATTAATTACAGAAAAGCGCAGTTCCATGAAAAGCGTGCTGAAGTAGTGTTGTGGTTGCTTTGGGTTGGCCATCGTGGGAATAAAAATAAATAGGGGAAAAGGAATGGCGGAAAAGTGGAAAAAAAGGGGGGAGAAAAACCATCACAAGTCCTTCACTTCTCACCGTGTTGTTAAACCAATTGGCAAACATTTTTATTTTATTACATTTCAGTTGCACTTTCTGTTGCTTTCTGCTCTTTTCCCACCCCACCCACTATTTTTCGCCCCTCATTTTCCGGCTTTTCCCGGGGAAATTCATTCTTCGGCAGTAAATAGATGGTAACTAGGGGTTCCGCATCCGGTTAATAAACAAAAGGTGTCGTCGCCCGCCCGACTGTCTCCGGATTTATTTGTCCGGATTTCTATGCTTGTTTTCTCATTGTCTTCCACTTTGTTTCTTGATGGGCGGATTGGGTTACGCTAACCGCCGGGTGGCTTTTACTGTGGTTTTTGATGGCTCTGCTCGGGTGGCTTGTGTTTATGGCAAAATCAATGCAAACCGCGGCGTCTAAAAATAGGCATCTGGCCAAAATGCGTCACGGCCAAAGAGCTCCGGGGCGACCTAATTAAATCGCTCGACAATTGATGGCTTGCCCATCGACAAAAGTAAATGATGGAACGACAGTCTGATTGAGTGACCTTGCACTGTGAGAAGTTAAAAAAAAATGGGTGAAAGTTGTATACTATCTACAACCGAATATTAAATGAAGGTGGCTTAAAGTCTTGAAAAAGGAAAACAAAATAAGATCAAGGGTTGTGAATTTCTAGAAAAATAATTAAAAGTGTTAGGAAAAGTTCAGGCTACCTACAACTATTGATTAAAATATAAATTAGTCTATGAATTATGATTTACCCATTTTATATATTCTGAGATTTTTAACAAAGAACAATAAGTTTATTTGTTTATACAAAAAGGACTTCTGTTTGGGAAAGGTACTTTTTTGGGAAATAGGCCTTTAAATATTTTAATATCAACATTGAAAACAATGTACGTGGTTGAGTTAAGTGTTATTCCACCGGTATCCCACAAAAGTTATGATGTCGTCTAGTCCTATCGATATATTATATATGTTTCTCTGTGTGTAAATTTAGGCGTCTCCATTGGATTCGTGTTGAAATCAATTAACTGACGTCAGCAAGGAATAGTGGTGCTGTGGGTGGATTTTTCAGTGGGTGGTGCATACTTTTCGGCAAGCAGATTGCGACTTACATAACCGTAACCCCACATGTGTGTGGATAACTTTTGTTTTTCAGCACCACCCCCTCCATCCCAAGCACCAAGCACATAGTAGTCCCTCCTGTAGTTTCCTGGCAGGCGGTGCAAACTTATTATGGCCATTCCTGGCTTGTGCGCAACTTTATCAACATTATGGATGACTGACTGACTTACTTCTGCCCCAAACTTGGACAAGGTTGAACCTTAAAATTGTTTCATTTCTGTTTTTCCCATGTGTATGTGGAAATGTGTTTTAAGTAAATGTGTGTTTGCCTTGTGCTCAAGATTAACCGCAAAAAATGTGCCACTTTAAAAAAGCAATCTTATTAAGTTCATTTTGCGGCGAAATGTTTGAGATTTCTTGCAGGATAAGAAACGGGAAAATATTACAGCCATTAAAGTTTAATCCATTTTAAGTTAGCCACTCACGCAAATCTGAGAAATGAAAGCTTCGGGAATTGTTTGTGGTAAAACATTTTTGGGGCATTCATTTATAAAATATATTTGCAATTTTACTTACGGTTGGATAAATTCAAAATTATAATTTTTGTCATGAAAAGGATAATTGGAATTGGCTTCTCCTTGATATTAATATTATTTGTATTTTGATTTTACTTTATTCATTTAATAGGATAATATAAAATTTATCTGGAACCTTCTATACATTTTTTCTTTTCCAATATTGGCACTCTTAGGCCCCCATTTTTAGTTGGAAAGTTATACTTAACCCCATCTTAAGTTTCGTCCCTAGGTGACTTTTAAAAGCCAAAAATAAAATATGTGAAATGACGTTGCCTTTGGTGTTTATTGTTGTTCCTGCTGCTGTTTTTTTTTTTTTTTTTGTTTCCTGTCGAACGTGAAGAAGAAGTGGCGGAAACAGGCGGCGTCATAAATATGTAAGCAGTGTGTGTATGACCTTCGCGTGTCGCAGCAACATTTTCAGCATTTTCTGCATGCAGAAATACAACAACGATTAAATTGAGGAATTTTCTTTTCCCCTGCTCTCTGTTTGCCTTCTTTTTTTTTGCCATTTGGCAAGCAAATCATGTTGCATGTTTCCACCGCTGACCTCTGACCCCGATATATAGCCCAGCCCCCATGATTTATTTGTCCATGGCCTACGGCCTGACGAGGGACACGAACTGCAGGAATATAACGAGAGCTTCCAGAATGAAGAAGAACATCTGAGGAAAATGGGGAACATACATTTCGATTTGTTCTTTTTTTTTGGATCTATATATAGTTTTACCCCTGCCAAAGTCTGCAGGTTGAGGTGATAGATACCGCAGACATCAAATTTTATGGGATCCTGCATGATCTGCAAGGCAAAGTCCTCAATTTGACTTCTTTCCGTAGGCGTCTGTCCTGGCCGATCCTTAAGTTGCTCCTTCAAAAGCTTGGACTGTAAAAATATTCATTATTCATGAATTACTAAACAAATCTTAACTTAACAAAGTTTAAAATCAAAACCATTGCCCACAAAAATCGTAGCTTATAAACAAGATTTTTATGAAAATAATATGGTATTGAAAAATGCAATGTGAAGGAGTTTTAAGAAACACCTTTACCTGATTTAAACCTTCTTAAATAAAGTTTGAAAATATAAGAAAATTCTTTAGAAGACCTTCTACTCACCTTTGCCACACATCGATGGCAGGCGGCGCACATGGTCCAAACCTTGATGAGAGTGGGCAGCACCACAAACATTACCTGGGCGAAGATGAACCAGGAGGCGGGCATTGACTCCAGGTATGCGACCATGAAGTACACATTGCAGACGATGATCCAGTCGCCCAGGCAAATGACATTCAGCAGGAGCAGCGAAGGGCCATAGATTTGCGATATAGTGCGCGACACTTTGGCCAGATGGGCGTATTCCGATCTGAGAGTTTTGTAATCCGTGCATCCAGATATAACCTTGTGATACAGTTGCTCCACCTGGTCATCCAACCGATCCACCAGCAGCATCACTTCCAGATAACGAGCACGAACTGCTTGCAGACTAAAGGCATACTGCAGATTTTCCCAATTCCTATTGCTCTCATTGCTGATCAAAGCCAAGTTACAAACGACCAGCAGAAGCTCTAGGAATAGATGGCTGTACATGATGCCGGTGGCCCTGACCAGAGGCAGTTGCTCCAGCAGTCGACGAACTCGATGACATTGGAGCAAAGCCGTGAGGACAATCCATGCATGTATCATGTTGTAGGCCAGATTTACGCCCTGGATGGTTTTCACAAAGTACGCGGACAGTGACTCGCCATACTGAATGTCCCCCTTAAAGTAATGCCATATTTGAACGAACAGTTCGATAAGTATTAGGACCAGGAAACTACTGCCCAACAGGCGTCCCAATCGACTCCCACTCCATCCGCAAACCAGTCCAAAAAGCTGGAAATACCCGGTTATACAGCGTTCCAACCACAGCGACATTAGGTTAGCAACTGAGGGACTCAGGGTTCTGTGTAGTGACTGCGAGGTAGATATCTTTCAATTAATCAAACAGCTGGTACTGGTTGATCATATCAGGCATCTAATCGCGTTATTGTTTCTTGGTGACCCCGATAGTACAAGTTTCACTTAGTAGCTCTCACTTCTGGCGTCATAACTTGGTACACCTTTACAAGTTTGTGTATTGGTTTTTCATTCAAATTTGTATTTTAATTTCGGTATATATTTGAGCCATTGCTAATGACTTGCAAAAAGGTGACCCAAAACTGATTTTATAGAGCCTATAACTTCACCAAATGTATACCGGTTTAAAAGTATAACATTCTGTAAACCGACTGTATGGATAAGTTGATGATGTGCTGAACATGGGGTTTTGGTGACCTCAAAAGTATTAGTTTTAAGTTTTCTAGGCCGATAAGTTTTTGTTTTAATTCTCTGTTAAGTATTGTCTTATATGTTCATTTGCAGTGCTCACGGTTCTCAGCTCGACGATCAAGTACAACGAATACGCGACGGACAAGGGCGGCAATGTGAGCATACCCTGCATAGCCCAGGGCAATATCATGTGGGTAAAAGAGCACGGCAACAACAGCACAATAGTCCAGGTGAGCTGGATGATATTCCACTCGAAAGTCCCCAAGATAAATGACGAATTATTTCTAAAGACTGGTCGTATTTTGGTGCTGCGCAATGTGAGCACCGCGGATGCTGGAATTTACGTGTGCTTCGCCTCGCTGCCACGCCCATCGCCAACTGCAACAACGACGAGCAATTCAGCAACATCAGTAACTACCTCATTGCAAAATCAGCAGGACAAAGAGACGCAGCCAGCGGAGGATGAGGATGGGGCTAGGGACTCCGCCAAGGATTCCCAGCAGGAACGCGAAGTGGAGGAGGAGGTGGAGTACGATGCCCACCAGCGGACCAGGCTCATCGTTCGCACTGTTCCCGGTCCGGTTTCGCAGCTCTACTTCAAGGCCTCCACCATCCTGGGCTTTCTCATCTGGCGCTTCAACAAGACCCAATCCGGGGGCTATCCGGTGCGCAGCTTCACGGCGGAGTACCGAAACGTGTCCTACAAGACGCCGCCCGCAAATGCCAGTTTCGAGCACGCCTGGAGCAGGATGGATCCCATCAACATAGCCTTCAATGTGGTAAGTATTAACCTATCAATGATATAAATATACCTTAAGAATAGGCTGAGATAGGTACCCAAAAAATGTATTTAAAAATATCTATTAATATTTAAAAATGGTTATTATTTTGAATTGGAAAAATATCCACAAATTAAAAATGTATATGATATCTCATGATATTTTGCTATTTTTAAACATTTTAATTTAATTTTTAAATATTAAAAGAATAACTTTTGAGTCGATTGTTTAGTGTACCTATATCCTTGGCAAATTAGCATGTTTGGTTTAATTTATTATCCTTTAATTATTATGCTTAGTTTTTAAACCTACCCAGAATAGTGAATAAAATGTTCAAGTTAATCCAGGAAATACTAAATGTCTTAATGACCTTGTACTTTATGACCCAATTTAACTTCTTTTAGCGCCAAATGGAGGTCTATCGCCTGGCACCCAACACCACCTATGAGTTTCGGATATGGGCCAACAACGAACTGGGCAGCGGCGAGGTGGTCACCACCAATGTGACCACGCTGCCGGAGACCAAGGAGGAGGGTGAGTACTCCGGGCTCTGCCGCCCAGCCCTTCGAATTCTAGAGATCTTAGGCTCTATTAGGCTAGGCTAGGCTAGGTCGAAACCAGGCTAGATTATGTTGATTATGACTACTATTTTTGTATAACTTTGATTCTACTTTAAATGTGTAAACTGTAATTCTAATCGGTAGTTGATCATTCCTAATTTCAAATTGGTGTCAACATTTATATATTAAGGATCATCGGGTGGGATTGCAACCGAATAAAAATTGTAATGATATATCTTAAATATTCAAAAATATATCCTAATCTATTTCAAAAACACCTCCGAACTGGTTGCAACCCTGGCCGCTGGCACAACTCTAGTTACTTGATTGGTAGCCAGCATTATAGACTAAATTTAAACTAAGTGTAAACGTATAGCTCATTGTTTAGTATATTCGATTTGTATTTTTGGTAATTTCTGTTATCCATCTATCTCTCTCTCCCCTCTCTCTCTGTCTCTCGTATTGTGTGTGTGTGTGTGTCTCTCTGTCTCTGTCACACCCAATCCAGATCTCATACGCCTTATAAAACCCGACCTAGACAATTTCGATCCACGCATTTGGATAGTGGCCGTCAGCATAGTGCTCGGAACCCTTGTGATATTAGCGATCGGACTCTGCATTGTGCTCTCCAAGGAGTGCTATCAGTCGGCGCAAATGGGTACAGACTAAGTCGATCAACTTCAACTCCAACTCCAAAACTCCAGAATATCCCCAGTTCGATATAACAGCAAACAATTCCCGAGATATCAGCAACAATTCTCACCCGCTTTTGTTTTTCGCGAGTTTTTTTTGAAATGTTTTTTCAGTTTCAATTTGGCTTCTCTCAGTTTGCTCAGTTGTTAAAATCATACATTATTTTTATCTGCGTTGTTCAGTTTTGTTATGGCTATATTGATGTTATTGGTGTCGTTGTTGTTGTTGTCGTTATTGCCACATTGCTGTTGTTGTTGTTGCCGCTGCTATTCTTGTTAATATTAAATATCAAATTTGAGTTTAACCGCATTTAGTTTTTGTGTTTGGCCGCCGGACCCGAAATGTTTGCTTTGCCGTTGGATGTTGTTTATATGTATATTTAAGCCCCCCTATAATATATTATATATATTTGTACATAGCTTTAGTGCGACTCCTGTGACCTGTAAATATAATAACAAACAAAATGCATACGTAAATGTGTTTGATATAAAAAGCTCAGCAGGCCAATCAAATATTGATTATATAAAATTTATTAGCAAATTTGTCCTTCTATTTCTGATAGTTGCTTATTAAGCGGCTTCCATAATTTTTTATGTAATGTTTAAAATAATGTTAAGAAAGGAAAGTAGGTCCATGTTTTTTTCAGCAACTAAATTCTGTAATATATTTTGTTCTGTAAACGCTCATTTAATCAGTAGGATTTTGTTGTACATGAAAAGCTAGCCTAAAAATGAAAGAAAAATAATTTTTGTTCGAACATAATAACATTCATAAAAATCCGTATAAAATAGCAGGTTTACATTACAATAAATATATATAGAAATATTTTGCTTGCATTAATTGTAAAACTCAAGTCTTCATTTTATTTTAGAGCCGCAGGACAAGATTCTTGTATTTACTTACCAAATAACCCCTACATTTATTCAACTAAAAACCCCCTAAATAGAGCGTAGCCTTAAGTAATGAAAAGTGTAATTTCCGCTTTAACAGAACTAAAATGCAAATCCTGTCCTAGACCAAAAAGAAAAAAAGCTTTAAGCACTTAAACTGTGATAGCCTGCACTTGTAGCCAAAAAATCAATCAATGCAAACGAAATCAATGCAAAAACCGTCTAAAGGTCTTAACCAATTTTAAGCTCCAGCTGCAACAAATAAATTAAAAGATATTGCCAAATAAATATTGTAAAATGCCTAGACCAAAGAAAAAGCTTTATCAATGTTGTAACCGTGTATGTACTATACTGAATATTATTGTGTTATTTGCATTTGCAACGATAAACCCCATAAAAGCACGACAATTAAATGTTTTAAAAAACCAAAAGAATTGGATTGTATAAAATGTTCCGTTGTGTATTTGATTTAGTTTTGTTTTGAGAACACTCGAGCTTGGATTTCAATAGAATATGCACACAAAAAACACACAGAAAGACTCAAGATAAATACAAATACCATATATACGCAAATACAACTGTGTTCAAAATTATAAGACTATTTGCATATTTTTGAAAATTTCAAAAACCAAATGTTTTTAAACTAGGGTTTGATAATATCGTAGAAAAAAGCTTTTTATTAAAAGGGAACAATTTTGAAATGATTTTTAAGTATACATTTTAAGGCTCAATTATTTATATAGAAGAAAATATAACATTTATTATATTCTTAATCTATTTCTAAAATTTCTAAAATTATCTCTATCAAAAGCTTAACATATTTCTAGCTGGTTAAATAGCAACATAAAAATCTAAACATTTGTTGAATTTGTATTTGTCCTTATTGGTAAACTAGCTTTAAACTACAACAAAATGAATAACTATTATTATTATTTTGGACACGGCTGTAGGCACACTTATTTAGCGAGACAAAATTGTTGCTTGCATTACGCATACGCCCTGTGCAACGCTTGGGGGCTAAAGTGTCGCTATTTTTTGAGTGTCACTTGGTTGAAGCGCCGCCTGTAAATATTTGTGTTAAACTGTTGCACACGTACACTCAGAAAAACACCCCCAAACACACACACTCACACACACCAGCCAACACAAACAATTAAAATCCCTAGAAAAAAAAAGGTAAAGTACAGAACAATTATTAAAAATGTGTCTAACAAATGTATTTTTCTTCTCTCTCTCTTCCTCTTGTTCTCTCACCCTCTCTATCTCTTCCTCTCTTTCAATATAATAACTATATATATTTATAACCATAATCTCTAAATCAATTTCTTTCCTATTTTCAAACTTGAAGAACTGCAAGATGGTTGGGACAGCATTGAGCTTATACCGAACATAATACTTAATCCCGGTTTCAGCGAGTCGGACGGCGGACCACGTGGTGGTGGTCAAGGTCAGGAGGGCGATGGTGGTGGTGGGCAGGAGGACCAGGAGGAGGACGACGACGATGTGGCCATGCCCTTTCCGCGCACCATCATCTTTGGCCAGCACCATCGAACGCCTCCACCGCCGCGTTTGCACCTGCCACCGCAGCACCACCATCTGCAACCCTTTGGCCACCACCTGAACCCGAACCAGAGCCACCATTACCATCATAGCCAGCACCACCGGCGACAGGACGAGGATGACGACGACGACTACGAGGAGGAGCACGAGCCCACCATGGAGCGGTTCAAGCGCAAAGTTTCCGTCTTCTTCACCGGCCCCACCATCAAGCGTATTTGAGACGTATTGGAGTACAAACACACTTCTCACCTAGGTTGTTGCATTGCGGTTTGAGCGGATAGTTAGGATCCACATAGAGCTTATCGGTCGAAACTTTCGTTTTCATTTCGGTTTCCTATTTAGGCTTGAAAAATGATATTGTATAACAACAAAAAAAAAAAAAAACAGAGAGCGAAATACTCGTACCGCCACTTTGATTTATTGCTCATTGTTGCTTCTCCCAGTTCACAACTATATAGTATATATATACACGTATTATAAATATAAACCAAAACAAATATATTGCTGTGATACAAATTCAATTGAACGGACATTGTAAGGATTTACCATAAACCACACGAAACAACACGCCAGTTATTAACCATCATGAATTTGCTGAAGCTCGTAGACAACAAATCCCAATTGAATTTTGCCTAGTTAAACACGCCATCTGAGTTACAGCAACTGGATTACTCAGATCCAGAAATAGACTACAAAATTTAGCGGTCAAGTTTGCTTAGAGCCACAAATACATCTGAGAAATGAAGAAAATTCCCGAAAAAGATCTGTTACCGAGGACTAAATTAAAATGAATTTTTAAATTGTCCGTTGGTCTGTAAACTCAAATAAACTGTAACTTAGAATTTAGTTAAATTCATAAACGATTTTATCAAATTTATATCTATAAGTTTTTTTGCTTAAAGTTATAAGTTCACATTAATAGCCGAGAGTAACAAATCTCGAATAGTCCAGATTCCCGACTATTTCGTTTCCAACTTGTCTTGGTTTTGGTTCTGTTGTAAAGATTTAACAAACTGTGAAACAATTTTATAATTGAGCAAATATTTTGCACTGTAGAGCGCACCAAACGATCTATATATAGATATATATAAATATATATTTAAAACCGAAGAAAACGTTTGATAAACATTTTAAATAAACGGCAAAATGCCTTGTGCTTTAGTTCGGCCTCAAAGCTAATTAAAATTGAATATGATATGATATAGGAATATTTATGAACGTAGTTAATGTAGCTGGGAAACCAATTATTCAAAATGAAAAAAAATGAAAAAACAAACACTGCTTCCACTCACAGAAAACAAAATAGAAACAATGAAATTGTTATAAAAGATAAATCAAAACTAATTTTAAACAAGCGAATATTGTGTATATACCGATGCAAAATATATATATAGAGAATGTACACACATGTGAAGGATGTACATAAAGATAGCGAGTGGGTATCTTAAGAAAGACTGTAGTTAACGTTTAAGACACTTTGGCCTGCGCTTATACCAATTTTTTGGGGCCCAACTTGGCCCGCCTGTTTTGGTTCAAACATATTTTGCATTGATCTGCTAGAGCTACAAACAAGTATATAGAAAAAATATTTCTAACAATTCGGAATGTGCACTTAACTAAACAAGAAAAATGAAAAATGAAAAACACGAATCCCAGAAAACCATAAAATAAATAGAACAAAATTGAATAAGCAAAAATCTCTCGCCTAAGCCCTGATCCTAAACTCTTGGCTGTATTTCTAATTGTTATTGCTTCAGGTTGAGGTTTATTGTTATTGCGCCAGCCTCCCGTCAGCGAAATCGCTCCCTAATCACTCTAAAGAAATTATTTTCTAATCTGAGGCTAAGCCATAGGATAACAGGCTTAGACCTCGACACCACAAGAACACAGACAACAATAAAATAAATCTAAGTTTACAAAACCTATTTGCGAATGTGATTTTTATATTGCCTATGGGTCCTATCAACATCTTCTATTCATACTTTTGAAGGGTAATTAATTATAAGTTTGAATGTTATTTTTAAGCTTTTTAACAAGCGTTTATTTGCGAGTGGAATTTAGCGATCTGCTCGTTACATAGTTGAGTAAACTCATGAAAAGGGCCAATTTGGGTTCAACTTAGGGACTACAGTGCTCCGCAGGAAGCGTCGTTGTGTGTGTGTGGTTGGTTGGTTGGTTGTTGCCATTCCATGTTCCAGTGAGTACAGGGATCTCCCTATTGGTAGTCCTTGCTGTCCTGGTTGTTGTTCCACGCCTGGTGGACACCGTGGTAGCTGCTCTGCTTCTGGGCGGGGGCATTGCGGCCGAAGGGGCTCTTGGGGTTCACCTGCAGGATGTAGTCGCCCTCCAGATCGTGGGCGGTATCGATGCCCATGTAGGCGCGCTTGCCGAAGCCATCGTTCTGCTTGTACTGCTGCAGGGAGTTGGCGGGGACGGCGGGGAAGCTCCTCTCGTTACCGGGACGCACTGACTCGGCGAAGTAGCGGGTGGCGCGCATGGCGGCCTCCACCACATTGCTGGCACCGGGAACACCGGCGGCGGGTCCATTGGGATAGAAGTCCACATCGCCGGAACGGATGGGGGTGCCCATGCCGTAGACGGAGGTGTGAATGGCGTCCACAAACTCGGCATCGCCGCGGGCCAATCCGGTCAGGGTGTTCTTGCTCTTGGCCACGATCTTTGAGGGGTCCAGACCGGTGACGCGGCGCAGCTTGTGTCCGGTCAGACGGGTGAATTCCTGGGCAGCGGCTCCGGCCACATGGGCACCCACATTCTGGCCAATCAGATGGATCACATCGAAGGGCACCTCCAGCTCGTTGACCATCTGGACAATCCATTTGCCGATCTTGGCGCCGGTCTTCTCAACATCGAGCATGGCATAACGCTGGTAGTTGTTCAGCTTGGCTCCCAAGTCGATCACAATGATGTCGCCGCTCTGGGTCTTGCCATTCTTCGCCTCCTCGCTGGAGTTCTCCTCGCTGCTGCTGCGCTGCCTCTTCTGCTCGCCGCTCTGGTCCTGGTAGTCCTGGCTGTTCTTGCCCTGCTGGCGCTGCTGCTGCTGGTTGTAGCGCTGCATGTAGGCCTGCACCAGCTTCTTGGTCGCCTTCTTCACGGTCTCGGTGGTCTGGGGCAGTCCGGTCACAATGATGGTCACCTCGTCGTCGCCAAAGTTCTGCTTCTGCTTCAGGCGCTGGATCATGTCGTTCAGGGGGGCAGCGATCTTGTCGCCATTGGGCTTGGGCACGTAGGCCTGGATGCCGCTGGGCACGAAGCTGGGCTCCACGTTGTGGTGGATCTGCGACAGGTGGTCTGAAAAAGGAGGCGCATTAAAATTGATAAATATTTTTCAGGCCATTACTAAGAAATTTGTTTAATACATTTTTGGAATTTTTGGCATTATTTTATAGATTTAAATATTTTTAAAGTTAGAATTTCCTTTAAAAAGCAACTTTATTTTGTAATCGAGGAGTCCTAGTAATTTTAGTATTTTCAGTAGTCTTAAATTTTCCTTTTTTTTTAATTTCTTTAATTTGTTAATTTCTTAAAAAATGAAAAATAAAAATTGTTTTAATAAGTTGCACTTACAAACTTGCTGCAGAAGCTCGGCGCCACGCTCCAGGTTCATGTTCTCCAGACGCTCAATGGTGAGGTCGTCGACGGCGGGAATGGCCTCCAGCTGGGAGCCGGAGAGCCACTGCGAGGGCTTCAGGGCCTGGTTGACGGAGTTGTCCATGCGGCCATTGGGCTTGGCCAGGGCGGCGACCGCCAGGCAAGCCAGAAGGCTCAGCACTCTCATGGGATTCATGGTTCGGATTCGGATTCGGGATCGGTTCGGTCCTGCGGATGCGACTTCAACACTGAGCGAGTTGAACTGACTTTCCGAATGCCCAAGGGCGGCTTATATACCCCCGGTGTCCGACCATTTTCATTTCCCATTTCCAGACACTCTTTCCGCTGGGTCAGGTCTAATCGGCCGACTTCTGCTGAGCAAGGGTTTCTGGGGCCTGGGAATCGGATGAGTATGCTATCGGCAAACTGAATAAATGTATATACAATGTCGGCACGGGCTTACCTCTAGCTGACCCCACTGATGACTTGGCACCTGCGGCCGACTGATAATTTTAATTTGTAATCACTTTGTAAGCTCCGCTGATTGCAACATTGTAGTTTGCCACCGGATTTAGTTAAATATACGTTAAATATCTATCAACACATATCCATCAAATCACAATTTTTCAAACACTGACTAATGTTTTTTCCCCGTTTCTTAAATTTAATTTTATATCTATTTTATTTTTTTACTTACCCTAGTACTTGCACTTTAATTTTCCATTTCCAATTCAAGGCCAATCACAGTTCATTGATTCCAGATTTTTGCCGTTGATACGTATAGTGTGGAATGTCGAATGTTTTTAGTTTCCAGGCCAGATAGTGAAGGCTCACACATATTTTAAATGGACTTAGGAAATGTATTACAGGAGCTCATGTAGTTTATTATCTCTTTGTTCTTGGACTTTACATGTCTCACAGAAATATAATATATTGCAAATTTTATATTTCAAATGTTTGTTCTCTTTATAAATCTACAAAAATGTATTTCAATATCGGTTTTTATTTACTTTTTCTGCTTTTCCTTTGTTTGCCTTATTTATAGTATTTATTATTTTAATTGAAATATGAACCTATTGTATATATTTATTTCCCATTTGTTTTAGGATTCGTTTACATTATGCTTTTATAGCTGTACTTAATTCGAGCTTGGAAAATTTAAGATGCAAATTAAGCCCTTTAAGATATATATACATATCAAATTTAATTTATAAATTATATTATTTAAATGATTTTGTGCAAAAATATATCACTAAATATTTGTCAAGGTTTGTTAGTAAAATATCACATTCTTGTATCTTATAAGATCTTATAAATAAGTCCAAGAAAAGAAATCAGAATGTTAATCCATTTTAATGCACTAATATAGTAAGGTATATACGAATTTTTAGAAAGCATTTAATCCATTAAATTTTTAAAGTATTTTGTATAAACAAAATCTTGACCCCTTCATGAGTTCAAGTCGTGGCTTTTGTCAAGCCCCCTTTATGGCTGGACCCCCTTTTGTTTACATTATGTAAGTGCTGGTCAAAGAAGTTTCCCAATAAATTTATGAGAACGAAAAAATAATAGAGCTCATCAGAAGTGTTGCAAAATCACTGACGCTGCGAATCAATATTTGTGCTGATCTAGAAATCGGTCGGCTGAATCAATTGCTTCCGGCGCGGCATTATAGTATACTAAGTATTCTACCTGGTGGTGGGTATAAAAACCCATCGAATCGGTGCAATAGGCATGCAGTACAACTTGGTACGGTGTCTGAAACAGTCGAACTTGGAAGTCACAATGAATCCTCTGCGCAGCCTTTGCCTTATGGCCTGCCTTCTGGCGGTCGCCATGGGCAATCCCCAATCTGGCCCCCGTTCCGGTCGCCGATCCAACTCCCTGGACAACGTGGAGCAGCCCAGCAACTGGGTGAGCCCCCGCGAAATCGAGGATCTGCCCGCGCTGAACCAGGTTAGCCTGAAGAAGCTGCAGGAGATGAGCCTGGAGGAGGGCGCCACGCTGCTGGACAAGCTCTGTAAGTTCGAGGATCTCTAACAGTAGCCAAAGATCTATTTAGCAATACTATATACTCCTATATCCTTTCAGACCACCTGTCCCAGTTCAACCATGTCTTCAAGCCCGATTACACCCCAGAGCCCAGCCAAATCAAGGGCTACATTGTCGGCGAACGCGGCCAGAAGATCGAGTTCAACCTGAACACCTTGGTGGAGACGGTGAAGCGCCAGCAGAAGTTCGGCGACGACGAGGTCACCATCTTCATCCAGGGCCTGCCCCAGACCAACTCGCAAGTGCAGAAGGCCACCAGGAAGCTGGTGAACGCCTACCAGCAGCGCTACAACCTCCAGCCCTACCCGACCACCGATTCCTCCAGCGAGGAGCAGCGCCAGAGGAGCAGCAGCGAGGAGCAGCAGCAGCAGCAGCAGCAGCGCAGGAAGCAGAACGATGACCAGGACGACTCGAAGACCGGAGATCTGATCGTGATCCAGCTGGGCGATGCCATCGAGGACTTTGAGCAGTACGCCACCTTGAACATTGAGCGTTTGGGCGAGATCCTTGGCAACCGCCTGGTTGAGCTGACCAACACCGTGAACGTGCCCCAGGAGATCATCCACCTGATTGGCTCCGGACCCGCCGCCCATGTGGCCGGAGTGGCTGGACGCCAGTTCACCCGCCAGACTGGACACAAGTTGCGCCGCATCACCGCCCTGGACCCCTCAAAGATCTACGGCAAGCCGGAGGAGAAGCTGACCGGTCTGGCCCGCGGCGATGCCGACTTCGTTGATGCCATCCACACCTCGGCCTACGGCATGGGCACCAGCAAGCGCCTGGCCAATGTGGACTTCTACCCGAACGGACCCTCGACCGGTGTTCCCGGTGCCGACAATGTTGTGGAGGCCGCTATGCGCGCCACCCGCTACTTCGCCGAGTCAGTGCGTCCAGGAAACGAGAGGAACTTCCCCGCCGTGGCCGCCAGCTCGTACCAGGAGTACAAGCAGAACAAGGGATATGGCAAGCGGGCCTACATGGGCATCGCCACCGACTTCGATCTGCAGGGCGACTACATGCTGCAGGTGAACTCCAAGAGCCCCTTCGGCCGCAGCACCCCCGCCCAGACCCAGGCTGGCTACCACCAGGTCCACCAGCCCTGGCGCCAGTCCTCCTCCTCCTCGTCGTCCTCCAGCCAGGGTTCCCGCCGTCACTAGGTCGCTAGTGATCGCTAGATGACAACCAGATCGCACACCCCTCACGCGAGCGAACCACTTAGCCCATCCTCATTCAGCATCGAGCGGTTAATCCTGCCACAGCTAGCATCCACTATGTATAATTACGCTTCGTTTTTTAATTCACAATAAAAAACCTTTGCATTTTTTAAATATTCAAAAGAGTTATGTTCATTTCGATAAGTTACGAAAAATCAGTTTAATACATATTTCCCAGCTAAATTTAACTTCATTCCTCGCAATAAAAACAATTGAATTTTGAAAACATCTATAAGTGTTATTCAATTCTGTAGGATATAAGGGTGTTAAAAAAAAATCAAGCGATCACTTGTTTCCTATCTATCAATTGTATTTATTTTTAATAATTGTAAGTTCCATAAAAAAAAAAAATATCCAATAATTTACCTCATTCCCTTTCATCCTTTTTCCTTTCAATTTTAATATATATAAATATATTACTTCTACGAAAAACAACCAAATCAATTGAACAACAAACATTTGGATTACACGATATGTTTATTTGATAAAGAAAGCATATTATCCATTATGGTATATAGCATACACACGCACAACCACATATATATAGCGCTATATATATGGGAGTGGTTCGGTGCCAGAGCAACGATGAACTACAGACAATATTTCTTGCTTACTACTGAGTTGGCAGGCGCAAAAAAATTGGGTTGAGATATCACTAAGCTTAAATAAGAATAATTAACGTAGAATTTCAACTTCCATCATAATAATCTTGGTCGTTTTCAACCAGAACTCAGCAGAACTAATCACAAATTGGGAAATAACATATACAACACGGTAAGGGGAATGGTATTTTTATCGATCGATGCGAAGGGGTTGTCTCCAGATGAGGTGGGTAAATGGATTTAAAGGCATATGTGGGTTTTTTGGGGCTGGGGTTTTATCAGTCTAGTCCCGGCAGGGCTGATCCGATGGCGACCAGGTGCACATCCCGCCGACTCCATCGTAGGTGAGTCCCTTGGGGCAGGTGTACTCCCATCCCACAATTCCGCCGGTCTCCTCGAAACGGGCGCAGGAAATGAACTTCCTGCAGTTCAGGGGATGTGGGAAATTACCCTGCGCCCGGCACTCGATGATGCCCCGTCCGTGGACAATGACCTTGGTGTCGCTCTTGGCCGGTCCAATGCTTCCGCTGCGCCTCCGTTGGGCCACCTGGTTCACCACCTGCCCCACCGGGAATCCCTCCTCCAAAAACTGACTGCTCGAGGTGGCCGTTATAACGGCGGATTTGCTCGGCGGACGACTGTAGACCTCGATGTATTTGTGCGGACGACGACGACTCTGCTGGCGACGGGACAGAGGGGGGGCGGAGTGTCCAGCTGGAGTGGATGACCCCGAGGATGAGCCCACAGTGGGCGTGGTGGCGGGCGTGGCTGTGGTCGACTGCGGCCGACGTGGGCGTGGTATCAACTGGCGTCCTGCAATGGATAAAAACCAATTAAATCAGGTAGGCCAACACCTTAAATTCGATTTAAGACCAGCAGATTGGGGATTTGATAAATTTTATTATTTGCTCCCTTGCTAACCTTGCCAACCTTGCATATTAAATATGTTTATATGCTCCTTAAAATCTGATAAAACTTAGAGAGAATACGAAAATAAATCTTTAAAGTGAAAACCCGTTTAGAATTTACTTATATGGAATATAGATACTTGTTGAATTGAATTTAGTCACTTACGTATGCCCTGGCTAATAGCAGGCAGTGGTGCATTGGCGGTGCTGCTGGGGGTAGTGCTGGTGCTCTTCAGTGGTTGCGGTGGTGCAGGTGGCAAAGCCAGTTCGAACTCCTCGCGCGGACGCACTTGCTCCGGGATCTGGTTGAAGCGGCTGGTGTGGATGCTCGACTTGGCCACCTGATCCTCGTCGTCGTCGTTCAAAAACAGAGTGGTGGTGGTTTCCTGTGCAGAATTTGGCACGTTGGTGGTGCGAACCGACGGTGGTGTGGTGGAAATCAGGGTAAGACGGCGCTTGAACAGGGGATTCTGGGTTCTCGGCACATCGGTGGCTAGGGGGAAACAATAATTTCCCATTAAACATAATTAAGTAAGCCATCAATCTTCTACCAAATTAAGTTATTGCATCATTATATATAAAGTGTGGGTGTGATTCATATTAACATTCTTTTTCTGGGATTTTCCGGGGCTTGTCACATATATAAAATAAATCATTAGTGTGAGATTCCCACAGGTCTACTTAACATTTTACCACTTCTTCTTTTAAAATAAAAATTAGTGTCTATATAAACATTTGTTCGAAATAATGGAAAATAAATGCTTTTTTTTCTGTCCTTATGATTAACATAACATAAAGTATTGGATATAAAACACGAATAAAAACTTTTAGAAAAATGACTAAAGAGAGATGTAGACACAACAAAAATATTTATTGTTTACTCCTAGAAGAAAATAATAAGAAATAATAATAAAGCATTTTGTAAAACCATTTTTTTAAGTTTTATTTTAGTGTAGTTTTTGAAAGATCAAGTTAAAAATGAAGTGTCTTAGTTTCAGCTTAGTTCCCTTTACAGGTGATTGGTATGATATTTTTTCAAGTGTACTTACCGCTCTCATCGCCGTTGGCCGCCGGCGCGAAGGTTGTCAGCCGACGCGTCTGAAATTGGCGTCGCAGCGCGAAGCTGGCGGGCTGGAACTTGTGTTGCTTTTGTGTGATGTCATTGCTGATGTTGCTGCTGTTGACGCTGTTGCTGTTGATGTTGCTGTTGCCAGTGCCGATGTTGCTGGTGGTTGGCGTCAGTGTTGCCGCCTCGCCGGATGCTGGTGCTCCTGCTCCGCTCTTGGCTTTCAGCTTGTTCAGGTAGATGTTGCTGCTGGTTCTCCCGCCAGCAACAGATGTTGCTGCTGGCAAGGCAGTAGTTGCTGCTGCCGCTGCCGCCGTTGTAGTTGCTGCTGCTGCTGCTGAGGGTCTGCTGCGCATTCGGTTGTATTTGGAGGTCGTTGGTGGTTCTGCAGGCTGCTGCGTGGTGATTTCAACCGCTGCCGACGTCGGCGAGTTGATAATCCGCCGGCGGACACTCAACACCGGTCGCCGCGAAACGCTGGCAGTCGTCGGTTGGCGCAGCTGCCAGTCGGTAGTCGGTGGTCGGTGGTTCACGGTACATGAAATTACAAAAAACAGACACTCAATTTAGCATTCAGTGAATTTTTGATTTTCTTGGATATTTTTTTGCAACTCGCTGCGTGATATTTGTTTTTTTTGTTCGTGCGTTTTCCTGGTGGTGTGTGCAGTCAACAACAATTCAAAAGCGCGCTACATGCTGGACTATAACAATAACAAATCATATTAATAAATTACAAATTAGTTAAAAATATACATAAGAAATCTACATAAAAGAAACTACATAAGCATTAAATAAATTAGTACTGTTTGGCGTTTGTTGGGTTTGTGTTTTGTGTTTTTCTCAATGGGCCTGGGCTTGGGAAATGGGAAACCCTTCAAAGGAGCTTTCTCTCGTCATCGCGACAAGATCAAGTTGACCGCAATGTAGAGCAACAACCGCAAAAATGCAGTCTGGCATTTTAATTGAAGGACGTTCGAATGCAAAATAAATAACGCATAGGCATAACAAGTTATTTGCTCGGCTATTATTTTGTGCTAGTTTTGCTTTGTCCACCAATCTTGTTGACATTGAAAGCAGCAATACAGGCCAACTTCTATTAGTGGTATTTATTATAATTATACACAATTAAACTGCTATAGATCCAGTTAAATTGTTTTCCCATTAATTTAATTTATTCCTAAGCTTCAATTTAAATCTATCAAAAGGTATCCAAAGTATTTAAAATGACAAAATTGTAAAGTATACATTAATTTGTTCTTGAACTCTTAACTATGTTTAACTTCGTTCCTCATACATTCAAGCTAGATTCTTAAAGTTTATTCGAAATTAGATTTAAGAAACCCTAATAACCTTTTAAATCTTTCTTTAAAATTAAGACCGTGGCCTCTGTAAGTTCCATTTAGAGAAGTTGGACTGTAGAAAAAATGCTGAGAGAGAGTTGGTGGCGAGGAGATTTTTGATGTCAATGTCGCACACACCTTCAAGACAATGAATATGAATGGACCGGATGGGGAGGGGTATTTACGCATTGGCCGAGGCGTTTGCATAACGCTGATGGGCTTCTTCGATTCGCAGATCGAAGCCTGTATATCTGCCTGGTATGTTTGGTATTTGGCAAGCCGACTGCATGCCAATGTGATTGCATAATCTGAATTCCCCTAGCTCCCCAACCCTCGAATTTCCACTTGATTTTTGTTCATCTTTGGAAGATGCGCGCTTTGCTTGTTTTTTGGCCACTGCAAACTGGTTGGGATTTAATTAAATATTGTGCAAGCCAGTTGGTCAGCTCGAAGACCGATGATGCGTGCAGGGCGTCGTCTGCTGATTTTCTGGCTTCTCAATGGGATTATTGTGAAAGTGGCAAAACAAAAGACTCAAGACACGAACGCGCCAGGGAAAGCTGCGTTTCAAGGGCAAGTTAAATAAAAGAGAAGGGTAAAGGTATTGGTGGTTGAAACTTATACTTGTCAACTAATCTGACATGCCCTTTAGTAAATATTAAAACCGGTCAAGAGCTCAATTGGCTTTTATTTATCTTGATTGGTTTGGGCAATGAAATGTCTAATAATAAATTGATAGCTATTTTTCTTTTCCCGAAATATAAAAATTACATCTAAGATTTCCATTGTTAAAATATCTAATGGTCTTTGAGGTGTGAAACTTTTAAAGAAGTACCACATGTTCAAGCCCATATAATATCACAGAGCCCGTTTCATTAACCTTTTTTTCTGTGTAAGCACTCCCTATTATTTACGTTTTGTTTGTACTCTTCATCAAAGTGATGATGACAAAAGCCTGTTACCCTGAGTGCAACACCTTTGATCTTCTTTAATGGCTTCTTTTATTGTTCGCGCTTTTGTTTGCTTTGTACGGCTTTTTATTATTTTCAAATGGGATTTTTCACGGGCACTTTGAAAGGAAAAATCTCCAAGCCCACTTCACAGAAACTGTTGAGCCGTTAACGACGTTTTTGTCAACCTGATTTTTTTGGTGTTGCCCTGTCAGTTCGTCGTGTTTGTTATGCGGCGCGTGATTTGACTTTTGGCAATTATCGTTCCAAAGAGACTAGCTAGCTGGCGATTATGAAACATGTCTCGTCTGCAGAGTCCCTCTCTCTCAGCAATTTGCAAATTGTTTTAGCTGAACTTGTTTTTATTTTATGCCTTTTTTTCGCTGTTTTTCCCGCTGACTTTGCACATCTTGCGGACTCATCGAAAGTTGAAACCGATTATCCAGACAGGCTTACATACAGACACAGTGCATGTGTACTTATGAATAGGCATGAGGCAATAACCGCTTCATAAAAAACAAAACAAAAAATAAGATAAAGCCAGGCGGCTGACATTTAACAAAGGCGGAAAAAAAACATCAGAAGACAAGAAAAGAAGCCCAGGCTAATGACTAAGCATATAACAAGCAATTCTACAAGTGACATTTGAAAGAGCATCGAAAAGTGCAGTGAAGGGGAAATAAATGCATATATAATTGCTCAAGACATGCAGAAGAATTTTTTCATTGAACTGTAATTTTCTGTAACCTTTGATATTTTAGAAAAATATCGAAAAAAACAGTACACAAATAAAGTAAATTAAGTACAATTATCGAAATATTTTCACGACCTAAGGAACTGATTTTTTAAATGCTTGCTAGCTATTTACAGAGAAGTAGAGTTTTTACATTTATTAATAGACATTTTGAATCCCTAAATAAATCTTTAAAAAATACATTTAAGCTCCCAACTAACTAAGACCTATTTATAATTTTCTATAAAAGAAATAATGTCCCCTAACCAACGGTTAAAATATAAATCTGAGAAGTGTACTGAAATTATGAAAATAAATTGTTGTAAAATAAACGTTTTAACGAATTATGTACAATATTTTCCCAAATTCTTTTCCTATATAGTGGTATATGTATTATATATACATTGGCAGATTTCGGGGGTTAAATGTATATGTATTATATATACATTGACAGGTTTCAGGGGTTAAAGGTGGGGGAGTTTTTTGTGTTCTGTTGTGGCAATAATAATTTGTATGGGTTGTTTCTTTTTGTTCATTATTTTATTGTTGTGCATAAATATTTTACAACTAAAGCTAGACTTAAAGTATTTCGGATAGAGAGGGAAAGATTGAAAAAAAATTATTAGAGAAGAGATAGAAATAAAAGAGAACTGCGCCTGGTAAAAAGCCATTTAAAGTTATTTCAAGTTGATCAAGATTGTATCCACTGGGGGTCGTTGTTTACGCTTGTTTGTCTAGATTTCTAGATTTCTAAATTTCTAGAATTTCCATATTTGAACCAAGGAAAGACTTTTCGCATCTGCATATGTGAACGAATGTGTGTGAGTGGATGTGTATGTGTGGGCGTTTATGTGTGTGTGTTTTTGTTGTTGTTTAGGTATGGCAGCTCGAAGAATACGAATTGTTTAAATAATTTACATAGCAAGAAAAAAAATATATAGTAGAGTATTCAAATTAAAAGCAGCAGCACTGGAAAATTTTGAAAGAGTATTTAAGCAGCCGAAATGGTTGTTTACTTAATTTTGTTTGCCGTGGTTGTTGTTAAGCCAAAGCAACGCAGCCAATTATCTACGGTTCGGCAACAAAAGGGTTAAGCTCGCAGAAGATTCTCTTCTCTTCGCGAAAACTCGCGAATGGATAAGGGCTAAGACTAGAAATAACTAACTACGCTGATTTTCTCTGTTTTTTGTTTTCGTTCTTTTTTTTTGGGTTTGTGACCTATTCCGGCACCACTGTGGTGGTGTCGTCAAATGTCGCCTCCACCGTGGTTGGCGTCTCTGTGGTTGTTGTTGTCGTTGTCTTGCGGTTGCGCAGGCGTCGGCCACGCCCCTTGCGCCCCATCTTTTTGCGATGCACCACATGCGTCTCGGAACTAAAGCTTACTGCCTCGCTAACTTTTTTGCCCACAGTGGTGGTGGTGTTTTGGGTGGTTGTTGTTTGTGTGTTTAAATTGATGTCGCCATCAATGGCCCCACTAATTGTGGTTGTTGTTTGGGCATTTTCGGGACTGTTGTTGGTGACTATTGTTTGTGAGTTCAGGTTGTTGCTACTACCAATAGCTTGGGTACTAATAGCGCCACTGGTTTTTGTGCTTATAGTTTGAGTATTTTCTTGGTGGTTGTTGTCTGCGGTGGCGGTGGTTGTTGTTTGTGCGTTACCACTAATAATTTCGGAGCTAATTGTGCTTGTTGTTTGAGTATTATTTTGTTGGTTACTATTATCTGCAGTGGTTGTCAAACCAAGCTGACCCATAATAACAGCACCAATTGGCATGGCTGTTAGTGTTTCAATGTTCACTGTGTTGGTGGGTGTTGTTGTTTGTGTACTAAGCTGTGACTCTGTGGCGCTCTCAATGCTAAAGATTGTGGTTTCTTCAGGCACCTGATCGTCTTCTGGCCTAATGGTTGTAGTTTCTACAACTGGTTCAATGTTCGCACTAATAGCACCATTAATTGTTTGATCTTCGGTGTTCAGTGTGTTGATTTCCTGACCACCACTGCTGATGGGGGCCTGCACCACCAGCGGCTGGCGCACAGAGAAGGCCGAATTCGAGTCGCTGGCAACATCGGGCGTCATGGTGGTCTGGCTGCCCTCGGCCAGCGACTTTTGCACCTTGCTGAGTATCACTTGATCGAGATTGGCTATCGAAATGACCAGGGGCGAGGACTCATTGGACTCGGGTCGTAGGAGGGGTACAATGGGTCTTACGTAAGTGGGTGCCGGTGTGGTAGTCTCGCCGGATGGGATATCCGAAGCACTGCTACTGCTGCTGATGGTGGTGCTCTCCTCCGTCTCCCCGACAATGCTATTGCTGTTCAGCTGCTTGCCCTTACGGGCCGAATCGAATAGTCCCTCCAGCGATATGGTCGAGGTCTCCAATGCCCCAGTTAGGACTTCGGGCACCAGGGACTTGCCACTGCGATCGGTGTCGCCTTCTTCCGCCTCCGGCAGCGAATTCCTCACGGGCGCCGAGGCTGCACTCTGGACTCCAGCAGCGGAGGTGGGTTCGGTGGGCGTGTAATCGGCCACTGTGCTGTGTCCGTCGTTGATCTGAATGTCACTGCCATCCACCAGATGGACATATTTCACCACACTGATCTCGCCCAGCTGCTCCACGTGGGGCAGCGACTCCACCCGCAGCGTGCCAAAGTCCTGATTGGCCTTGGACTTCCGCTGGGCAAACTTGGCCTGCTTGGAATTGATCTCCACAATGCGATTGATCTCAATCAACTTGTGCTTGGGCACCACCTCCGTTTGGATCGTGGGGTACAGTCGGACCGCTGGCTTTCTCGTCGTGGCCTCCTCTTCTTGGGCCTCGCCCTCGATGAGGGTGAACACATGCAGCAGGGTGGTGGCCGGCGGTGGTGCTTGGGTGGTGCTCGAGATGTTTTGATCCTGTGAATTGATGGAAGTGGCTTCATTAGCATTGGTCGCTGTTTCAGTTTCGGTTACAGTTTCAGTTTCTGTTTCGGTTTCGGTTTCAGTTTCTGGTGGCGTGTCTGTGGTGGTGGCTGTGTCTGACTGTGTGCTGGGTGGTGCTGGTGGTGGTGATGGTGGTGTACTGGGTGTGGTGGTCACAAAGCCCTGCTCCTGTTCCTGCTCCTGCAGTAGCTGCTCCACGGTGGTTTCTTCTTCCACCGCCACCTCTGTTCCGGTTTCCACCTCTGCCTCTGCCTCGGCCTCAGCCCCCGTCTCCGTTTCCGATTCCATCTTGACCACCTTGGGTTTCAGGGCCGGATGCTTCTTGCTGTGCTTGTCAAAGATCTTCTTGTTCCTCGCATTCAGTGCATCGATATTCAAGTCTTCTATCAGGGAGTTCTCGCTGGAAGTTTCGGTGGCCTCCGTGGAGGGACCCGTGTACTTCCTCTCGTAACTCCGGTTATTACTGGGTATAAATGGCGCCGGTTTCAGTAGTGTCAGCGGTGTGGTGCGCTCGTAATCGCTGGCAACGGGTTTCAGGGTTAGGTTCGGTGAGGCCACTCCCGGCGGTCGGTTGACCACGCGGGGTCGCTTTGTGCTGCCAAAGCGGTTGGTTGGCGGACTGTTGGCGTTGGTCGAGCTTGATGGGCGATTGCGGGGATTGAAGGGTACATTTCCGGATGCGGTAGGTGGTGCGGCACCACTTCCGGTGGCTCCAAAGTTGGGACGACTGCCCGGTGGAGCGCGGTTATCCTTGGGTCTATATGGGGAATTGAACTTGGGCTTGTCTTGGGCCGTGTCTTCCTCCTCTCCCACCGCCACCGGCTTCTCCTCCTCCTCCTCCTCCTTTTCGTCTTCATCCTCCTCTTCATCGCCTTCCTCCTCGGAATCCTCCTCCTCGTCTTCTTCCTCGCTCTCCTCTGCCTCATCTTCCTGCTGTGGCTTCGACTTCTCCAGTGTGGGTCGCGTCTTGGGAACAAAAGGTCTGCGCAGAGTGGTTGCAAACTGATTCTGCAGTGGCTGCTCTCGCCGTTCTTCCACCTCCTCGTCATCCTCATTATTTCCCTGAGACTTGAAGCGATCGGAACCTGGCAATCTGGAGCCTCGTGGATCGCTTCTCACAAAGCCCTCTCCACGATTGCGGACACTCGAGTTGAAGGGATCAAAGCGGCCGTTCTTCTTGCGGACGAATTTCGCTGTGGGTCGGGTGGTGCTGAATGCCAGTGGGGCCTTGGTGGTGCCACCGCTGGCCGAGGGTGGCGTATAGGGTCTACGGGCCACCAGTTTGCGTTTGAAGAAGGGCCTTGGCGTGGAGACACTAGATGAAGATTGGTCATCTGTGGAAGAGTCTTCATCGCGGCGGGTGTTGCTCGTGGCTTTCTCGGCCAGCAGCTTCTTCAGACGGTCGTTAATCACGCCCTGTTCACCTTCACCTCTCGCCTGCTCTGCCTTTACTTTGTCTCTCAGCTTTTGCAATTCCGACACATCCTGATCGTCCTTTTGACCCAGAGTCTTGAATCGATTGCTGATTACCCCATCCTGTGGCTCACCTCGTGCCTGCTGCTCTTTGATCCGCTGGCGGAGATGGACGAGATCATTATCCTGATCCGTGAATCTGGTGTGGCTGGGAACGAAAGGTTTACGGGTGGTTTCGTCGGAATTATCCACACTTGCCGCGGTACTTGAGTCCACGGGCCTCAACTTGCGCACAATCTTGCGGAAACGCTTGTTGCCGGTAGTGCTAGTGTTGTTGTTGTTGTTGTTGCTGGTGGTGCTTTGGCTTATTGTTGTTGGTGTGGCTGTGGTGGTGGTGTCTGGGTTAGTGTCAGTGGCGCTATTAGTGGTGCTATCTACGTTGGTACTATTATTGCTATTGCTATTCAAGGGTCTGCGGAATTTCAAAACGCGTATGCGCTTTGGTGTTGGCCTGCTGGTGGTTGTTGTTGTGCTGGTTGCTGTGGAGTCTTCTTCCTTCTCATCATCATCTTCTCCTGCTTCTTCGTGGGCATCACCCTTAGTCTCGGTCTCTTCAGTCTGCTCATCGACTAGGGTTAGTTTAGTTACCTGGGCGCGTTGACGGCCCCCAAAGGCCAATCGTCTGGCGGTGGTTGTTGTTGCTGTTGAGGGTTGTTCTTGTGTTGTTGTTGTGGTTGTTGTTGGAGTGGTGTTGGTGGTGCTGCCTCTGGTGCGGCTCAATTGATAACGATTCTGAAAGCGTCGTGTGGAATTAACATCATTACCTAAGGCATTCAAACCAGCCCCAATCGCTTTCTTTTCCCCCTCTTTCTCTAGACTAGCATCATTATCATCATCGTTATCATTATCATTATCATCATCATCATCGTTATCATTATCTGAACTATCTGCCTTAAGATTAGCTGTGACTGGTTTGTTGTTGTTTGTGTAACTGTTTGACTTGAATCGATTAATATAATTGGCTACGGTGCTGTTACTACGTTGACTAGCTACATTCAGTGCGGTGCTACGGTTAGTAAGGTAGTTAAGATTAGTGGTGCCTCCCCCCCGAGTATTGTTGTTGCTTAGTGTTTGGTTAGTGTTCGATACCTCAACGGAGCTATCGTCATCTTCTTCATCCTTTTCCTCCCCATGCTCTTCGTTGTCCGTGTCTGTTTTTTCTTGAGTGGTTTCTGTCTCTGTCGGTTTTTGGGTGGTTGTTCTGAGTGGTTGTCTTTGCCTGTTGGCAAGCAGTTGACTTAGTCGTGAACGTGCAGTGGTGCTTGTGATTTGAGAATCTACGGATTCCTCTTGATTGTCCTCCCCATCCTCGTTTTCATCGTAGTCTTCTTCTTGGGGATCTTCCTCCTCTTGAACCTGCTCATCATCAGACTCCGCTCGGTGGTACAAATTTCTATTGATAGCCACCAGATTACGTCGTGTGCTGGAGCTAACTCTCAGTGGGGCTGCGGTGGTGCGACGTGCTGCAAAGTTGGGTGGTTTGCGAGCCGGGAACACAGCTGCCGCCTCCTCTTCATCGGGAGTGGGCTGGAGAGCCCGATGGCGGTTTGTTTGAAGAAAGACGGCACGTGGCGGTGCCACCTGCTCTTCTTCCTCATCTTCAGCACCATCGTCATTATCATCGTCATTATCCTCACCGTCGGTGGTTGTTGTTCTTGGTGTTGTGAAGCGATTACGTGAGCGGTTCAAGGCCGCATACGGACGACGTGTGCTAATCTCGTCGCCGTTCGTTGATCCCGTCGTGGTTGTTGTTGTGATGGCTGCTGACGCATTAAAACGGCGACGTGATAGAAGCGTTCGTCGAGTAGTTGTTGCTGTCGTTTTCGCTGTAACTACCTCGCCCTGATCTATTTCATTGTCGGCACTGGGATTTGCGGTCGTCGTCGTCGTTGTTGTTGGTGCGGTAGCATTGAAGCGTCGGCGTATCAAAAGCTGCCGCCTTGGTGGAGTTGTGGTTGCTACTTTTGGTGTTGAGCTCTCCGTATCATTTTGGTCGATCTCATTCTCCAGATTCTCATCGGCAACTGGGGCAGCAGAAGTGGTTGTTGTTATTATGGTGCCATTAAAACGGCGACGAATTACCAACTGGCGACTTGTAGTACTGCTTACTGGTTTACTTGTCGTCGTCGTTGTGGCTTCTGTACTAGATCCACTTTCTTGCAGGGGAATCTCATTGTCATCATCTATATGTGCCTCCAATTCTGGCTCTTCGGTACTATCTTCTGCCTCTTCAGAAGTTTTCTTCTCAGCTTCTTTAGAATCCACCTTTTTTTCTACGACATCATCGATTACCTCTTTCTGAGAACTTAAAGTGGTTGATTCTTCATCATCATCGCTATCTTCATTTTCATTATTTTCGATTTCATTTTCCGTTGGCTTTTCCGTGGTTGTTGTGGTTGTCGTAGTAGCAACTTTGCGATTAATGCCCACATAAGGTTGCCTTGTGCTTCTGTCTGCTGGGATTGCGGCCTCGGAGGTATTCTGTGAACTTAGAGTGGTTGATTCTTCATCCGCATTTTCATTATTTTCTATTTCATTTTCCGCTGGCTTTTCAGTGGTTGTTGTGGTTGTCGAAGTCGTAACTCTGCGCCTGATACCCACATATGGTTGTCTTGTGCTTCTGGCTGTGGTTGATTCGTCATCCTCATTTTCAATATTTTCGATTTCATTTTCCGCTGGCTTTTCTGTGCTTGTACTTGTAACTCTGCGATTAAAGCCCACGTAAGGTTTCCTTGTGCTTCTGGCTGCTGTGGTTGCGGTCTCGGTGGTTGAATCAGTGTCTTCCTCGCTGGTGGCTACGGTGGTTGTGGTGGTGCTACCCCTGCCTCTCAGTCTATTTAAGCCTGCATAGGTGCGTCTTGTGGTTGAACCCACCTTTAACTCCTCTTCATTGTCGTTATCTAAAATAAATTAAAAGTGTTTTAATTAGTTTTGTTTTATATGTGCCGCATTTTTGTTGCAATAATAAATTTGATATTCATTTTTGATACAATCCTCAAAGAAGGAGGTAATTTTATTCATTCAACAATTTCTTTAACAAATAAAATGCATTTTTAAAACCAAATCTATTTTGTACTTTTTAAAAAATATAAATGTTTTAAAAATATAAATGTTAAAATACTTGACAAGACTTACCGATATCAGAAGAGTTTGAATCCGCCACTGCATTAATAGGTCTTCTGGGGGTGAACACTCTTCTGGTGGTGGTTCTTATAGAGCTGGTTGATGATTCTTCTTGGGGTTTCTCATTGGTTTCTTCATTGTCTTCTTCACTATTTTCTGTTGCCGACGGTGTAGGTGTGGTGGAGCGAACCCGGAAGCGCTGAGGAACACTGTAGCTTCTTCTGGTGGTTGTATCTAGTGGCTCATTTAGGTTATTTTCCTGCAATCTGGTGGATAGGGTCAATCGAGTGCGGTTTAATCTTGTGTAGGTGCGCAAAGCCCGGGCATCTTCTTCGCTCCTTTCCTTTTCTTCTAAAAGCGAAAAGCTTACAATCTTGGAGGTCTGATTGCTTGAGTCTGTTGCCAATGGTAGTGTTTTAAATGTTTTTCCCTGTCGCTGGGATTTTGTTCTCTCCTCGGTAACCTCACCACCTTCATCATCATCGATGTCAGCGGTAATCTCATCATCATCTATGGTTTCCTCCCCTGATCCGACCAACTTTGCCCCCGGGTGACCTAATTTGACCCGGGGGTTTTCAATAAAAAATGACCGAGTTCGGCATTAATTTCCTTGGCCTGCTCCATCGCCTGGCGATGGTCATCGCTTTCGCCTTCATCGCCTAGAGAATTAGTTGGTGTCTCGTTTTCGCTCACATTGAAAACATCATGGATTTGCTGTTTGATGTTCACAGTCACACTTTCAATATCTGGTGGTGCGGGAGATTTGTCGATGTAGGTAATGGGTGAATCCTTCACATACTGATAGTACTTTCTTCTATGGTAAATCGGTAAAGAAAGCTTATCATCGCCTTCATCTTGTGTGACTTCACTTCCCTTAGTGATTGTCTGGCTTTCTACTTTGTTCTCTGACTGCAACCGATTTATGGCATTGCTAAGCTGTATTTTAAGATCGCCTAAATCTTCTTCAGTGGTTGTTGTTGTTGCTTCTGTGGTGGTTGTTGTCGTGGTTGTGCTGGTTCTGAGGCGATTTACAAACTGCTCCTTGGCCGCAGCCAACTGATCTTCAGTAGACTCGTCTGCAACGGGAGCTTGAGTGGTTGTTGTCCTCAGGGGTCTTCTGTGGACGAGAACTCTTCTAGTGGTCGATTCTGAGGGGGTAGAGGTTGCTTCCTCTGTGGACTCCTCTTCAATTGGAGCTGGAGTGGTTGTTGAGCTTACGGGTCTTCTAAATGTGAGAACTTTCCTGGTGGTGGGTTCTACGGAGGAAGAGGTCGCTTCTTCTGTAGACTCGTCTTCGATTGAAGCTGGAGTGGTTGTTGTGCTCACAGGTCTTCTAAAGGTCAGAACTCGCCTTGTGGTGGGTTCTACGGAGGAAGAGGACGCTTCTTCTGTAGACTCGTCTTCAACTGGAGCTGGAGTGGTTGTGGTGCTCACTGGTCTTCTAAAGGCGAGGACTCTCCTGGTGGTGGCTTCTGAGGCGATGGTGGGTTCTGTAGAGGAAGTAGTTGGTTCTTCAGTGGTTGTGCTGGCCTTCGTGGGTCGCTTAAAGGCAAAGCTTGCCCTGCGAGTGCTGGCCTCTATTTCGTTTGGTATTTCAGTGGTGGTGGTTGTTGTACTGCCTCTCGTGGGTCTGGTCCTACGGATTATGGGCCTGGCTGTGGTGCTTACATGTGGCGTCTCTTCCACTTCATTACCATCTTCGTGACCAGCTTCATACTCAAATTCTTCAACCTCTTCGTGTTCGATGGTCTCCTTGGGTTTCTTTAGGAGACGTCTTCGCGTTTTGGTCACCGTAGTTTCCGTTTGGCCCTGTTTCTTGCGGTTGTTGCGTGAGGAAAAGTCCAAGGCCAGCAGCGAAGAAAGATCGTTGCTCTCGAAGCGCACGGATCCACGATTGCGAGTCACCGTGCGAGGGGTGGTGCTCGGCGGTGGTGGGTGGGTCACTTCATCGATAATGTACTCATATTCGGCGGGTTTCTCCTCCACGGTTTTGGTGTGGATGCGCTTCACCACCTTCTGGCCCGCGTCGAGGGTGCGCACGTAGGTGGTGCGAGTGCGGGTGATTCCATTGCCCAGGTTATCGGTTTTTGTGGTGGTGCGATTGCGAACGGCGTTCAACGAAGAGCGACCACCGTATACCTTTTCCACTCTTTGCTCAGTTTCCTCTTCTTTGGAGGAAGACGAATGTGCATCAGGTGTCTCGGTGCTTGTGGTGCTGTGGTTGTTCCTGGCTCTTTTGTTGGCATCTGCCGCAAGAAGAGAGGAGAGATCTCCCTCTTTGCGTGGCCTAAAACTGCCTCTGACTATTACCCGACGTCGTGGCAGGGCAGTGGTTGTCTCACTCTCGTCTTCACTCTCCTTCGCTCCTTCCGTGGTAGTGGTTGTTGTTGTCGTGCCTTCTGTGGTGCTGCTGGTACGGAAGAGACTACGTCTAGTGGTGCTGCTCACTTCGGCTTCTTCTGCAGTTGTTGTGGTTGTGGCTTCCGTGGTGCTCGGTGTTTTATTGTGGAAAAGCGAATGACGAGTGGTTGTTGTATCTGGTTCGACCTCATCGCCAACTGAGCTGCTATTGGTATCTTCCGTTGAAGCAGTGCTTGAAGCTTCAGTGGTGCTGCTTCTAAAGAACGAACGACGCGTTGGGCCCTCGGTGGTTGTCTCGGCTTCATTTTTTGTTTCTGTGGTGCTGCTAGGAGCATCTGTGGTGCTACTAGGTGCCTCAGTCGTGCTAGATCTAAAGAAGGTTCGTCTCTTTAGCCCTTCAGTGGTTGGCTGAGCTTCACTTTCCGCTTCAGTGGTGCTGCTAGGTGAGTCTGTAGTGCTAGTCCTGTAAAAACCTCGTCGTTTCGGTCCTTCTGTGGTTGTCTGGCCTTCACTTTCTCCTTCAGTGGTGCTGCTGGGCGCATCTGTGGTGCTGGATCTGTAAAAACTGCGTCGTTTCAATCCTTCTGTGGTTGTCTCGGCTTCACTTTCTGGTTCGGTGGTACTGGTTCTAGTGCGCACTATAACACGTCGTCTTGGACCCGCAGTGGAAGTGGTTTCTTCTTCTGGCGCAGCTTCAGGTGTGGTTGAGCTAAAGCGGTTGAAAGGGCGTCGAGTGGACTTTTCTGTAGTTGTCGTGGTTTCTTCTTGGGGGATCACAGTGGTGCTAGTGCTGCTACTGCTCTCTGGTATTTCAGTACTGCTGACAGGTGATTCAGTAGAGCTTTCGCTGATATCTGTGGCAGTCTCTTTTTCAAAAGCCTCTGAATTTGACTCGGTGCTGCTGAATTCTTCAGATTGTACAGGAGCTGCTGTCGATGATACTTCGTTGTTGTTTTCCGAAATTATCTGGTTGCCGGTTTCTGTGCCTATCGCTTCCTTAGATTCTTTATCGAAGGAATACAATTCTGTGGAACTGCTGCTGCTTTCTTCAGATGCCTCAGTGGTGCTGCTAACAGGTGCTTCTGTAGAGCTGCTAACAGATGCCTCTGAAGAGCTGCTAGCATCTGACGTTTCTGAAGGCTGGGTGGTGACCTCCAATTGTGGTGGTGCAGCTACTGTGACAATTTCTGGCGATTCCTGTTCGGTGGCCGTGTTGCTATCGTCTGTATTTTCACTTCCAGCAGGCGCCTTGGTCTCTCCCCTCTTTTCATCATCGATTATCTCAGCAGCCACATTTTCATCTTCGGTGGTGTTTTCTACAATCTGGCCACCCCTGCTTACAGGTTGGTGGGGCAGTGATGCTTTGGCCGCTTCGCCGAGATTTCTTACAAAACTGGAACTGCGTCCTGCGGTGAGATGGGCTCCACCTTCGGAGTCGCGAGTGATGGCCTTGTAGTGGATTTGAGAATCATCAGTGGTGGCTCTGCTAGCGGAGCGTTGGATGCTTTGGTAGCTGCGGGAACCATGAGATGTTGTTTCAGTTGCTTCTTCCAATGCCACTTCTGATTCATCTTCGGCAGAATTCAAGCGACGACTGCGGAATTTGGTGGTGGTCGGAAGCTCCTCTTCCAAATTTGATTCCGCGTTCAACTGCTTGCCGGCAAAGCGTCGTGAGTCCTTATCGTCGCCCGCTAAGGAATTGTGGACCACTCTACGCTGGGTTGTGGGACCTCGCACACCGCGCCAAGTATACTTGACATGCTGCCCGGTGGTGCTGGGAGCATCGGTTTCGATGTGGTTTTGGGATTGACTTAAACTAGAGCTAACTACTTCATGCCTTAAGCTATTGCCACCGTTACCAGCTACATCTACTTGGGATTCTTGGTGGTGCAGTGAGGAGGTTTTGGTTCGTGTGTTGATTGCTGTTGCTGTTGGAAGACTGGCACTCACCTTGGGCCTATCCCCTGGAGATAGTCGTGTCTTCTTCACTACTTGCGCAACTTCATCGGTTTCGTTATCGTTATTGGTATTGTTATCTTTATCGTTATCGGTTTGGGGGACAGTGGTGGTGGTGGTGCTGGCTGTGGGTCGTGTGCGACGTCGGGGATAACCAAAGGGTCTGGGACTAGAAAGGTTTGGTTCGGTGGTTGTTGTTTGGGTCTGTTCTTGTTGGGGTTGCCTTCTGCCCGGGTTGGTTCTAATTCTATTTAAACTACTCAAACCGTTTGTTGGACTAGCATCGTTCGCTGCTTCTGCATTGTTGTTGTTGGTGGTTGCTGTTGTTGTTGTTGTGGTTATGCGACGACGGTTGGTGGTTGCATACTTGTACTGGGTCTTGGTTTTCGTTACCTCACTGTCCTCGTCCACGTTGTTTACGTCATTCAGTTCGCTGTTACCCGTGGTTGTTGTTGTTTTCGGTGTGGTTGTTGTTGTGGTTTCCAGTTCGGGTTCCGTTGTTGTTGTGGTTGTTGTTGTTGTTGTCGTTGCTAAGTCAGGATTGGAAGGAAGGTGGGTGGGTGAGGCTTCGCTCAGCTCGGTGGCTAGCAACGAGTCTGAGCTAATGCCATTGGTGGTTGTTGTCGGAACAGTGGATGCTACAATTGGTGTGGGTGTGGTGGTGGTGGTATGCAGGTTATTAGTTATGGATGTAGTGGTGATGGTGGTTGAGGTGCTTTCATTTGGTTCAGTGGTTTCGTTAGTGGTGGTTGTGGTGGTTTCGGATTGGGCAGTTGTGCTGGGTGTCGCTGTGATGTTCTCTTCTGTTGGTATTAGGTTATTCAGTTTCACATTGTTGTTGTTATTGCTGCTGTTGTAGTGGTTCTTGTAGTTGTTGTTGGTGGTGGTGCTGGCCTTGGCAGTCTCAGTGCCGGCGGTTGTTGTTGTTGTAGTTTCTGGTGTTGCTGTTGTAGTGGTGCTTGTTCTGCGGCCGATGCTCGCATATTTACGTGTGTTTGTGGTTTGTTTGCTCTGTACCGTAACATTTTCCTTTTGCTCGTCTTCGTACTCTTCCTCTTCGTCCTCAGTCGGATCTTCAGCATCCTCGACGGTGGCACTCTTGGTGGGTCGTGAGCGCTCAAAGTATTTGTAACTGGGAAAGGAGATTTTTTTGATTAATAATAATAACCATATATAATTCAATTAACCCACTCACCGATTAGTTGTCGAACTAGGCGCCGCTTCCGTGACGTCTGGTGATGCTGTGGTGCGTCCACGTGTGCGGCTCAAGGTGGCATAGGATTTAACCTGAGCCTGCGTTTGTTCCTCCACGTCCTCTTGGGATTGTCCTGCCGACGGAGCCACTGTTGTGGGTCTTGTGCGCCTGAGACTTGTGTAAGAGGGCGTGACTGAGCTCAAAGGACGACGGGTGGTTGTCTCAACTTCAGACAAATTTTCCTCCTCTTGCTGCTGATCCTCCTCCTCATCTCCCTGACTGGCGGATCGATGACGATTAATGGTCACATATTGCTTGCGCTCCTTCAAGAAACCATCGAATTCGGCCAACTTTTCAATGCCCTCGTTTTGTGGACCTTGGCGGCTATTTCCTCTGAGGACCGAGGAATATTTGGAGTAGCTGTTGGAGGCACCATTCGATGAACTACTCGAAGAACTGGATTCCGTGCTCGTCTCCGTGGCTTCGCTGATCTTCAAACGATTCCGGGTGAAGGAACTTAAAGTTCCGGGACGACTTAGGACACGATCATACAGAGATTTGCTAATGGTAGAGGGTGTGGTCGCTGCACCACTGGCGGAGTTTTCTTTTAACGTTATCGATCCATCCTTGTTGCGCAACAGATGCTTTTCTAACTGTTCCACACCACCCACTTTGCGAATCAAGTCGATCAGCTCCTTGATCACCTGCGGATCCTCCTCAGCATCAGTGGATTTGCTTGGCGATAGTTCATCGGTGTCCTCTTCGTACTCCAGATCCTCATCAACACTTGCTGGCGTTGTTGTGGTGGTGGTCGTAGTACTAGTTGTGGTGCTGGTGGTGGTGCGTGGGTACACTGGACGAGCCGTGGGTGCTGCAGTCACTCGATTCGAGCGCGCTGTGGTGGTTATCGGGGTTGTGGAGGTCACTGGCGCCACTGTGGTGGATCTAAGGTAGAAAGGTAATGGGTTAATTTATAAAAAATTAAATAATAGAGAAAAATAATAGAGAAAAATAATGAGAAATAGTACAAAATCACTCACTTCTTGGTCTTGCAAGGCACATTGCGGGCAAAGTCGCAGGAATCGGCAGCAGGATTAAAGTAGAGTCCCGATGGACAAGTGAACATGTGGGCCACGATACCAAGACCAGACGGTCCGCTGTCCAGACACCAGTAGTACTTTTTGCAATCCCTTGGATGCTGGAAGAAGCCCTCCTCCTCGCACTTAAAGTCCGAGCCCGGATCCGGAGTCGTTGGCGGTGGTGGCGTGGTGGATGCCCGGCCTCCAATGTAAAGGGAGGATCCCTCGGCCTCGGTCAGCTTGAAGGTGGTGCTCGGCGGTGGTGCTTGTGTGGTGGAGCTCACAGCTGGTCGCCTGGTTGCACTGGGTCGCCTGGAACTAGCTGGAGCTTCGGTCTTGCCATTAAGACGGTTCCTGGTGTTGGCATTATCGCGACTGCGAGATCTTGACGGTTTCTGCGGACCACTTGGCTTGGCCACCTCGTTGATGCCCAGTCTGGAATGGGATTGATATCATTAGAATAAGAATATATCATTTAACAGATATAAAATCCTTACCCCAATGCGTCCACCATGGCCTCCTTGGCAGCCTCGATAAGCGGATATGGCTTGCCATTGCAGGTGCCGCGGAAATCATCGTTGTCGATGGCCCAGAACATAATGCCACCCAGTCCCTGGGCCACCACATACTCGGCCTTCTTGCGCACGATGGCCTCGTCATCGTAGCCCACCCACTGGTTGCGTCTGTAGGCATAGGGCCCCATCACATTGGCATTCGGCTGCACAACCGTCCACTCGGGATCGTCCTTCAGGGTCTGACAGATCTGGTGGGGATTTAAGAGGATTAGTATGTCTATATTATCCGATTAAGAAGGTGTAAACCAACCTCATAGTAAGCCAGATATCCCTTTTCTCGAGTGGCATCGCCCTGCTCTCCCGGACCCTCCGCAGGTGCTCCCAGTTCAGTGCTCTCCTCGTTGATCAAAGTGTAGGACCGTCCATAGGTGGGAATGCCCAGGACAAGCTTGTCACGATCGGCACCCGCTTTCAGGTAGTATTTGATGGAGTAGTCCTGCGCAAATTCAAGATATGTATAGTCAAAAAATACTTCAGGTTCAATTCAAAGGATACTCACAATATTCAACTCGGCATCGTAGTTGTACTCGGAGTCCTCCTCCAGCGAATAAAGCGGGGCATGGTGGTTAACCGATGGCTCGTGGGAAGAGTGGAAATCGTAGGTCAGCACATTGAACCAATCCAGATACTTGTTCAACTTGGGCACATCGTAGCCCTTGTCGATGTACTCGATGCCAGCGGGAACGGCCATGGTCAGAAGGAGACGTGTGCGTCCAGTTTTCTCCGCTTCCCGTTCGAATTCGGCCCTCAGTTCCTGGACAAACTGTGCATAATTATCGCGATCCCGTGATTTTCCACCCTCTCGATGAGCTGGATATTCCCAGTCTAGATCGATGCCATCGAAGTGATTCTGTCGCAGGAATTTCAGGATGTTCTTGATGAACTGCTGCCGGCGGTCGTTACTCGCAACCAATGGCGAAAATCTGGAACTGGCCTCGTTCCACCCACCAATGGCAATCATGGTCTTCAGCTGCTTGTTATACGTTTTGAGTCCAGTGAACTTGGCATAGCCACCTGGACCAGACGGACAGGAAATTAAAGCCGAGTCAAATTAACTCGCCGGAAGGACGGGGGCGTGTCTGCGTTACTCACCCTGCTCAATGTCCTGGTACTTGTCGAAGGGCTTCATCTGGTTGTCCTTGGTGAATCCACCGAATGCGTACACCAAATGTGTACACAGATATGGATTGATGTTCTGCGGATTGAACTTGGCAGTGCCCGGCCGATAGACACTCCAGTTTGTGTAGTAGCAGACCACGCGACCCTCGCTGCTGGCTTCTGTTAATTGATAAAATCGAAATTAATATGGAATGGAAAATGGTTTAGTGACAGGATATCATAATTAAAATTGGTTGTTAATTTATACTAGTAAAAGAGAAGACATTGAAGGCTTAAAATATTTATAAAAGTATTTCATTAATTATGATACCATGGGAGTGGTATTTAAAAACGGATATTAAACAGATAAGACAACTAAATAGATTTTATTGGTATGTGAAAATATATAAAAAAAATAAGTTCAAAATAACAAAGCGTAAGCACCCCAATTTTAATTCCTCAATTAAATATACAATAATATTTAAATTAAATGAAGCATACACAATATATTTCCAAGTATTGGACTAAATTTTGTAATCGAAAAAAAGTACATTCTGGCTTTAACCTTTATTTTCTAAATGCTAACCCTTTTGTATTGACTAGAAATTTATTTGACTTATATTTGATGGTTTAATATATACTTAGCTATAGGTACACTTACCATTTATGCAATAGGCGAGAGCGCAGAGCAGGAAGAGCGTTTGCCAGGCCGCTCCACGCCGGAACTGCAAAAGAAAAAAAGAAGGAAGGAGAACAATAAGCGTTGGGCAATTATATCAATTCGATTTTTGGGGTTTCAAAGAGCACGAGGCGGAAGCCATCGGCTGGCAGCCCAATTAGCATATCGAGATCGCAGATTCGATCGCCATGGGCCATCAGCATTGACACAGTGACATCGATGGAATTATGGCGCTGATCAGGGGGAAATCGGAGATCGGAGGACCGCATAAATCTGGGCGAAACAAAAGACCAAAGACACGAACTCGAACTCGTAGAAGAGTGGTTCCCATGAAGGTCGCTGCTCATCAAATCGCGCCTTACATAATCACATGTGATGTGACGAGATGAATTTCATATGCAAATCGTCGAGCTAATCAGATGCAAATGCCACGCCCCTATTTTTTTGTTACTTTTTTGGTGTCATAATAGGGGCGCCTGACTAGGAAGCGGTACTACACATCATTATTATTTGTGGAGCGAGCTGAGCACTGAGTCACACTCATAAATATCTTAAACGGATTTTCATATTAAAATGCCAAAGTGTTACAACAGCTCGGGCTGCAGCCACAATGGGCCCAAATCTTTTTTGGATTTTGGTCAGCAACCGAAAGAGAAACAACACCAGATTACATAAGCAATCCGTACCAAAAACTCGACTTCGATTGCGTGTGCGTGTGTGTGTGTGTGTGAGCCATGCCGGTTTTTTTTTTGTTTTTATATACACTTTTTTCTGGGCTCACACACACCGTAATCGTTCATTCATCGAAGTGAATTTTACACACAGCGAACAAAGTGCCTGGAAATAAAAATTGATCAAGTCAAGGCATCAACATCATCAAAACATCACCATCGAAAAACATCTGCCTGTGATGAGATTCGAACAGGTTGGATTGCCGCAGCTCATAACTAATTAGCAAGCTGACCAGCTCTCGACTTTAAGACCTCTCTATATACTATATGATATATACTATAGGGGCTTGAGATGAACAGTGAAGTTTGATAATTGCATTTGCTTGCCGTAGGGGAACTTTCTTTTCGCAAAAAACAATTATCTATAGAGGCAATCATTCAAGGGAAGTCTTTAGGCCAATTGGTAAAAAACTAAAACTGTACATTAAATTTAATACCACACAATTTCGGTTGTGCAATGCTGGCAGCAACATATCTTGCTGGCAGATAGTCGATTCTGAGAAGAATACCATTTTTGAAGGCTGAATGCTTGTTCACAAGTCACAAAAAGATAAATCTAACTTAAACTAGTTTCACTTGTCTTGTCTTGCATAAATAAAATGACACAAAAACATAACTTGAAAGATCTTGGACCAAATGAGCCACACAAAAAACCCTAAAGCTGTTAAATTAATGTTTTTCTTATAAATATTTAAAGTAAGTTTTTAAAGAAGAAAGATTTTGCCTAACTATTTTAAAATTTAGCCACAAAATTACTAATGATGAGGTTATAAATCAGTACAAATATTTAGCATTTAATGTGTTGCAAGTGCAACAAGTGTTGCAACAACATTGAAGACTGCCAGCTAAAAGCCAACTAATAAACCAAAACCTTGAGTTTAGGATACTACTTTTCTAAGCAGGGTTTATTGGCTGTTGCAAATAGCTACCTTCTAAGTTCTTAACCCAAATTCAAGCTAAGAGTTTTCCTAAAAGCGGCTACAAAATTGCACTTGCAAAATGCTCTTTGCAGCTGAAGCATCGACAAATGGGGAGCGTATATATGGGGCTCTTTGGAGCTTTCCCCTTTAGCCGTAAATCGCAGCCGTATCCATATCCGGCATACTTGTCGATGAGGTGGCGGTGCTGTTGTCCCATTTTGCAAAAAAGCCGAGAGCCGAAAGCCAAAAGGCAAAGCACTCAAGACATTCTGGCGGAGGGGTAATGGCATATTTACCCAGTGCCAAGCGAACCGCCGAACCGCGATATAAAAATGTGTGTGGACATTGATTGGGTCATTGGACCAGCATAGGTAAACAAGATATGTTTATGGAACGCTGTGGCAATTTACATTTATATATAGCCATCATTTACATGGTGGTTGGTGGTTTCTTTCGTTGTTGTTTTTGCCGTTGTTGCTGTCGTCGCTTACGCATTGCTTAACATTGCTTTATGGCAGCGACTGCAGCAGCTGCTTACATAAAATTGCATGCCGAAAAACGGAGAAAAAGTACAAACTAAACAACTTAAATGAAAATGAAATGACAACAATTTGGATTGTACAATGCGCATGATCATTCGCATTCGCATTCGTTTTCGCATTTCGCATTCGCATTTCGCATTGATTGGCCAGACTCTTTGCTTTGACAAATTTGTCGATTTTACGCAAAGTGAACAGCAGCAACATCAGCAACACATGTACTTAAAGGCAAATGCCAGATTTGTTTTAGTTTAGTTTTTTTTTTGTCCAGCCTTATTTTCTTTTAATTGCAACTAGCGGTTGGCAATTAAAATCAGGCTAAATGTGGAATGGACAAGTGTGTTGCTGTTGCTGTCACTGCTGATGTGTTGCTGTTGCTGCTGCCACTGCTGATGTGTTGCTGCAGGGCGCTGAAACAGCAGCTTCCACAGCGGGCCAAAATTGAGAATCGTTTTGGCCGGATTTACAGCCCCAGCGGCGGTACAATTTATGGACAAGTTGCTGCTGCAGTAAGTTGATGTTGCTGCTGTTGCTGTTGTTGCTGCTGCTGCTGCTGCTGCGACAACAAGTTGCAACACTTGGGGAGATCCAGTGTGTGTGGCACATTTATACAGATACTCACTTATATACACATATACATATATATGTACTGCAACTGCAGCTGGAGAGCCCGTTGCTTACGTAAGGCATCGCATTACGAAAAAATAAAACCAAAAACCAACCAGCAACAACATAAAAATGCACAAATATTGCGTACATATTTGCAATTTCACAGTTGCAGTTGGCTTTGCATAAAATCTGGATTTAACCTTGAATCGAGTCGAGCAAAACTGCCACATAAATCGCGTTGTATTGGGAGCAGGTCGCCACTTCATTCGGTTTTGCGACTTCGAGAACTTTGAGATCATGAGAAGCGAATTGTCGATACAGATACTCGATACTCGATACCTGAGCTGCCGCCAATTAGAAATCGCTTGTTTCGACGGATGACAGACACGAATCAAGCGGTCTACAATAGAGATTCTTTTGGCTAACTTCAATATTCCCCAATTAAATGAGTCACTCAATTTATGGGATTTAACTAAATGAAGTCATGGTTATTTATACCTAAATTATATATTATTTATGGTTTTAAATAGCTCAGTATATTTTGCAAATGAATTGAAGTGTTGCTATCATTACTTAGTCTAATACTTATACTCGTATATGTAGTTGAGCAATTAAATGCTACGCTATTTTTTATCTAATAAAATAAGACATTTATTTGATAGCAGTTAAGTGATTAATTAGTATTTATAATTAATTGGCGTTTATACTCTTTGTTTACGAACCGGCAAATAATTATATTTTATGAAAATTAATCAATTTAAGTTAACCATGCCTTTGAATACTATTAAAACAGTAATAAATTTGTATGAATATGGTGTGAATTTTATACTTTTTAAATGTGGTCTGGTATGTTTATGGTTTTTAATCTTAGTTTAAAAGAAGTATTCGTGAGTTTTAAACATAATAGGTTATATTGATACTGATAAAAGTATTTGAGAAATTCCCGAAAATGACTCATGGGCTTCAAGTAAATATTTGTGTAAGGAAATTTATTTTCCAGCTGGCAAATTTATGTGAAGTGTGCTGGGGATATTTACAGTTTTTGGGTGCCATTCGAACACCCGTGAATCATGTGTGAATATTTGAGTAAATTGCGGGTCTGCTGTCCATCAATCTTCGCCCCACGAAAATTCCACAGATAATGCTCCAGCTATTCATAATCCCTGAGCTCTGCAGCTGCCATCCAGATCCAAGCTCACACACTCACACATTTACACATTCACAGCCGAAAAGCATGACTTGGATAAAAGGGAAAAAATGTTGTGGTTCAGTTAAGTTCAGTTCGCCTCTTAAATGCAACTTAAAATTCAAAGAGGGTCCGCTGCAGTACCGCTCCCGCCTGGAAATTGACTGGAAATTTCCGTAGCACGTAGAATGTGCCGCACATCATGTCACGTTTCAGGTACCAAAGAGCGTCGCAATGTCAACGCCCCAAAAATAAAACAAAAGCGGCCCAGAGATCAATGTCTGCCCAAGAGACATTGCGTATACGCCCCGTTTGACTGGATGGCTGGCTGGCTGGCTGGTGGGGAATGTTCGAATTTTAGCAGGCAGCGGGTGTGCCAAGATGAAGAGTTTTGTAAACAAAAGTTTTGACATTTGAACAGGCCACTCCACTTGTCCAGCGAACCTGAGCCACTTCGAATCCAGAGTGGGTGTGCCAAAACCAAAACCAAAACAAAAACCACAACCCAAATCCCCAATCCCAATACCAAATCCTAAAAACCACCGGCACAATGCCAAAGATCGGGGCGATAAGCTGATGCATTTAACTCATGCATTTAGCCGGGATTTATGCCGTGCGAAAGTTGAGCATTGTTGGCCAACATCGAGATTAGCGTGCGAAAGATTTTTCCCAGTCTCCAATCATAGTCCAAGTCTTGGGCTTTCAGTTTTTGGGGGGATTGTATTTATTGTGGCCCAACCAAGGCATTTTCAATTAGGCAACTGAGCAGACCAGGCCACGACCCAAACTGAATCATGGCCAGCGGCGGAATACAATAATCGGGCTTAGAAGGTATATAAAAGGGGCACAATTGCCCAGACCAATCGCCAAAGATTGAAATAAAAAAAGCAAGTTGACAAATTATTAAATATTTCTAGAATTCTTGTATAATTATGAGATTTATATTTCTTAAAGGAAAAAAGCTTAATAAGAGACTTTTGTAAATTGAGACTTTGTAAATTATAAAACAGCATTTAATTTTCAAACTATACAAAATATAATCAAAGCTTAAGATACTAAAA